AACAAGATCTGTTGGCATTACTGGCTGTTCATTGAAGGGGCCACTTCAATTGCTTGGAATTGAAACCAACTGGCAGTGAGCAAGGGGAGAATTCCTACACTAAACCTGGCCTCTTCTAGGGAAAATTTCACCTGGGTCTAGACTTATTCTGTTTCTGTAATATAGAGTCTAGAAATTGATGATTTCTTGAAATTAAGACAGAATTCAAAAGTTTGCCGAATTCTAACACTCTTAAAATGTTACATAAACAGAGCGCATCTAGACCCGGGTAGAATTTCTTCCCATTTGGTTCCGCAGACATAAGAATATTGACTTTAAATTTTTGAAGATTATGTAGTATTTTGGAAAGCTGTCCTAAATTAATGGCTTAATAGAATCATTGCATTATACAGCACAGGAGGCCATTCAGCCTACCGACTCTGCGCCGACTCTTTGAAAAGAGCTATCCAATTCAATCCCACTAACCCGCTCTCTCCCCAATGCCCCGCAAACTTGTCCTCCGCAAATAATTATCCATTTCTCTCTTAAAAGTTATCAACTATCATAATAATCCTTGTTTAAAGTTAGAAGCTGATTTTCCACAGTCGTTTTTCCAGTGTGAATTTGCAAATTAGGATTGAATTTCAGACTGTCCCAAAGGTGCTCACGATCTTAATTTTTTAAGATGATGGTTTTAAGCCATGAATAATTTTGAGCCTTGTTCCTGCTCTTTGTTCGGCTATACCAGCAGAAGCCAGGTTTGTAACACTGCCATGTGGAGAATTTGTGTAGTTTTTTTATTTATGATTATGGAGAGGGAGGGGTGGTTGAAGAATGGAAGAGTAATTAATATAGAAAGTAATTAATATAGTAAATATTATAGAGCCACTGCTGTGCGCAATTGGCTACTGCATTTCACCCACAGAATATAAATCAATTCACTTTATAGTTTATTCTGTGAAGTGCTTTGAGACATCTCGAAGACGTTATAAGGCTCTAATAATAATAATAATCCTTGCATTTGATATAGCGCTTTTCACGTCGGGAGGACGTCCCAAAGCACTTCACAGAACACACTGTAAAGTGAATTGACTGTATATTTGTGGGCGAACGCGGCAGCCAATTGCGCACAGCAATGTCCCACAAACAGTCGTAGATTGAAAATGACCAATTTATTATTTTTTTTGGATTTGGAGGGATTATTATCCCACCCTATCAAATGCCAGGATTATTATTATTTATTATTACTATATAAGTGTCAGTTGTTGTTTACTCTGGTACTTCCAGACGCCCAATACGTTGGAGTCCTGTAGCTCAGTGGTTGGAGCACTTGCCTCGCAATCGAGAGACCTGGGTTCGATTCCCGGCAGGGTGAAACCTTGGGCAAGTTTCCTTACTCGACGCGCCTGATAATAATCCTTCAAAAAAAAATGGGTCTCTTCTACGACTGTGTGTGGGACACAGATGTGCCTAATTGGCTGCCGCGTTTCGCCCATAAGTATACGGTCAATTCACTTTACAGTCTATTCTGTGACGCACTTTGAGACGTCTAGAAGACGTGAAAAGAGCTATATCAAATGCCAAGTATTATTATTATTATTAGAAGCTGATTTACATTTAACACTTTCCTCCGAGAGCAGGGGGAGACCACTGACCATGGCACTGTTACTGCCTTGTTTTGCAGTAGTGATGTGAGGTTAAATGCCTCGGCTTTTCCTCCTTGCTGGATTGTGAGCCACAAATGTTTAAATATACAGTATATCGGTGAAGCACTGTGATGGGGGGGGAGAGGGATACCTATTTCTTTTACGTAGAACATTTATTCTGAACTTTTATAAAATAGAAACGAGTTTCTCCCTATGTCCTGGCAACCCCCCCAATAAAATTGACAATCCACTTCATTGCCATTTGTGAGACATTGCTATGTGCAAATTGGCTGCTGAGTCTGCCTACGAAGTACACAGTGACTGCACTTCACAGTAAAATCCTGCGAGGTGCTTTGAGATGTCTCTACGACGTGATGAGGCACTTTATAAAATGCAAGGATTCTTTGTATGAAGAATATAGCATTTTAAACATGACGTACACATTGAGATGAGGCATTAAACACTTTACCACTTCTGTCCTGATGGTTCAGGGAGAAATAAGTTTCTCATTGTGTCCTGCGGGTGGTGTCTCCGGCCAGCGAAAAGCATAAAGTGTGAGATCGTGCTCTACGTGTGTTATATAAAATCTACATGATTTACAGCTGAGTGTGTCTTCTCAGTTCTCAACTGGATGAACCTGGTTAAGTTCTTTAGCCTCACTTCCCTCACATTTAGTTCCCAATTAGTGAAGAAAGATGCTTAAACCTGGTTTTATTAGGCTGCGTCATGCGGCTTTTTACTGTTGAGAGAAAAGCAGCTGAAAGGGTCCTGACTACTGATGATTGTAGTGCTCGAGTGCGCGTTTCAACAGCGGAAATGCAACTTGAGGTGTAAAGAATTCTCTTGGTTCGTTGACTTGAAGGGGGGCATCAAACCCATCATTAATTATTGTTGTGACTTTCACTTTGGAGTCTTTCTTACTAAGTAACACGATAAGAGCACATTGCTGTACACTAACTATGACTTTGTACTTTCAGCTCTCCCTCTCTCTTTTTCTCTCTCTCTCTGACGTGTTCTCTTGGTATTGTAAGTGCACTTAACTCTGCTGTTGTCTTCAACCTGCTTTTAGCTGAAATAAAGCTCCTTTTGTTTTCACAGGCTTTTCTTGTATTCTTCTTTTCTTTAAAAGCAAATGCCCGATCTTATTCTTCTCAACCTGTTCTTGCTGGTGCGTTTAATTAAAAAAATATTAACTTGGCAGACAATCTCACAGCCCCAAATGAGGGTATGGGGAATAGCTCAGACACAGTCTGTTACTCCCTCTGGCTGAATCCTTCTGAACAACTCCCATAGCAGCAACTTCCCACCAACAGCTGAGATCTTCCACTTGTTCGATGAGGCTCTTTGCCATGTCAGCAATATTACCTACTCCTGCCTGCCCAGGGATCATAGTTGGCAAAACTTCTATGTCTGCATTTCCTGAAAGCTTTTGTTTTCCAAATTCACTTCGCGGCTGCTTGTGGGACATTGCTGTGACCAAATTGGCTGCTGTGTTCGCCTACAACATACACGGTCGTTGCACTTTACAGGTAAATGCTGTGAAGGGCTTTGAGACGTCCACCACATCAAATGCAGCGATTATTATTATTTTCCAACTTTCGGCGCCCACCTTCCCCGCAAAGACGGAGCACGCTCCTTATCGGAGGCTTTCCATCTAGTTCTCTGACCAGTTGCAGCTGGTGACCTTTTTGGCAGGTGAGGCAGTCCTGAGTTTGCCAACCCAAGCTATCTTGTTACTATGGCAATGGGCCCTTCCTGCATGCCCAATGTCTTGGCCTCTCACCTGCTGGCCTTGCTCCCGCACCTCGCTTGCCTCACCCGATGAGCCACCACTGCCTCTGACTGGCTCTCATTGAACATGATCAGGATCAAAGAACAATCACGCCTGACGTTTGAAGCCTCATCCTCGCTGGGCACTCAATCACTGGAGCTTCGATTCTAGTTGGGATGTTAGATACAAAGACTTCTTCAATAAACCAGAGAGTGACATTATAAAAGCTCTGAGGTGGCTGGGCGGTGACATACTAGTGGATTCTCATTCTTCATAATTGAAAGGCCTACTCTTATATGATGACATTAAAAGTTCTTGTCTCTGGGTAAAGTAATTAGGCAAAGATGTCTCCTCCGAGCTGCTTTGAGCGTGTGGACATCATGTTTTATGCAGGTCTGCTCTTATGTACTATTACTCTTTTCAAACCATGAGGTTTCCTGAGAAACGGATCTCGTTTCGCTGTGATTGCTGTGAATCACCCTTATTGCTGTGATTGACGATTGAAAGCTCTTGGAAATCATCTCGACTAAAGTGAAAGAAACTCTATCATCAAAGGGTGGAAGAAATCAAGGTGTGCAGAAATTCACAGCATCTCTTGCAGACGAGGCTGGTACAGTCTTGTGGATACATTTATCCCTTCAATGTTTTAACGTTCTACAGATTTATATTAATGAAATAAAAAGAAATAAAAATGTTATCAGCCCCACCTCAGGGATCTTTAATGATATTACGGTGGTGGTGATCAAGGTCCACAAGGTTCAGAGTGTCTGTTTGAACAACATCTCTTTCAGATCCACAAATGCCACGTATAACAGGAATTGCAGTACAATCAATGCAATGTACAGTCCAGCAATGGAAATGAGTTACAGCCATCAAATGATGTGGTGCTCTAGCATTCAAGGCCGTGTAGGTAAAAGCAAAATGTCCCAATGATTCCAAACAAAAAATTGCATTGAAACCGTTAATGTTATTCTCCTGTCCCCCCACCCTCTATCTTCCCAAAAAAGGAAATTAACTTCTGGATTTAAATCCAGGTCTGTCTTTAGTGTGTATCCCTGTCCTTTAACATAACAAGTGCAGAGTGGATGTGGAGGTGTCCAGGCAGATAAGGTAAACTTTCTGTAAAAATCCCCCAAACTGGCAAAGCCTGAAAAACGACCAGTAAGTGTATTTAAAGCAATGGCAGATACAGACTATGATACTGTAATGGGCTTGTAAAATGGAGCAATTCAGCATTTGATTGTGCAACTGTCACTGAATAATTCTCTCGCCGTGTCTTGTCTTTACTTTTCCTATCTCTTTAATGCTGTCTGAGCTCTCACTTTGTAAGGTAAGAACTTTTTGCTCTTTACTCATGTTGCACGCATTGAAAGTCGCCTTCCCCTCTTTCTCTCTCCCCCTTTTTTCTGCCCTTGTCTTTTATCCGGTTGTAAATAATTAATTTATTTGAGGCGTCAACAAATTACCTGCTGTAATCGTTGTAAAGCATCTGATAATTGCTGTCACATTTTTTTAAATCAGCGTTCAACTGGGTTTTGAAGAGAAAGAACTCGTTTGTTAAATAGGATTTTTTTTGTGTGTCTCCCACTCTTTTTCTCTGGCAGTCGACCAAAGCATGTTTGAGAATACGAACACAGCTCCCACGCCAAAGCTCCAGCACAGCAAAGCCGCCGCCTCCACTAAGGGCCCCCAGGCTGCCTCTGTGACGTGTGCCGGCGGAGGTGAATCCACGGTGACGGGCGGGAAGTCCGTCAGTGGCATCAACAGCCAGCACCTGAAGAGTGCCATCAACCTGGGGAAGGCCATGGGGGCCAAGGTTAATGACCTCCTGCGAAGGAAAGAGCAGAGCACTGTGATGGACGTGGGGGTGACCGAGGTCAATAAGAATGCGGAAGGGGTCCTGACCATGACTGAGAGTGATGAAAAAGGACTGGGGAGGAACAATGGAATGTAAGTACAGCTCCTGCTGGAACCTTTGGCCGTTTCCTGCCAAGGAAGATTAATGCTGCCCCTCTGTCATGAGGACGGTCTTGACTGGAAACCTGACTAGAAATGCTAAAGTATTCTGATCTGCTGCCAGATGTCAGGTACGCGATAAATCATTGCAATTCACTTCCCTGGTAAACGAAGGCTTCAATTGGATTCTCTTAAATTGTGTTGACGTGGGCCTTGATGCATCAGTGCCTCGAGGTACCTGACCCGCGAGCTCTTTCCGTGTCGCCAAACAAAGAATATGCATATCTATGAGGGTGGAGCATCGCTGTGCAGGGAAAGTGCATCTAAAGCAATCGGAGCCTCTTGTTACTACGGTGAGCCAGTCTCTTGATGCTTCTTCGTGGCTCATGGCTGTTAGTGGGACATTGCTGGATGCAAATTGGCTGCCATATTCGCCTAAAATACACAGTCACTATATGTCACAAGAAATTCCTGTGAAGTGTTTGAAACATCTCGACGACGTGATAAGGCGCAATATCAAATGCAAGGATTGTTATTATTATTATCATTATTAAACCACAGGAGAGTCATGGTGCGAATGGAGGAATAATGGCAATTGTGTTGTAAACTTTTATTTCCATCTCAGAAGGAAGTGTATATGTAATAAGATTTCATCTGAAGGTTGGCGTATTCTTTTTGGTCAATCTGTAGCGAAGAGATTCAATTAATGTAACAAGGATTTTTTTTCTCTCCCAGACAAAAAGTTTTCCAGCAATGACAAGTGAGAGCACGATTATTTCAGGGAGCTCTTTAAAACAATTATTGTGATGTCCAAACACAGCATAATAGTGGCAATATTTGTCACATTTGCTGTACATCACAGATCTACTCTGCAAGAGAAGTTTGGCATCCTGCCTTTACTCAGTGCCCTGAGGAATTATTTATAAACCAAATCAATACCTGTCTCTAAGCTCTAGGGCCAGGTTTGTAGGAAGTACAGATTGCAGTGCTGTCAGTCAGTTGTACACAGGACCAGAAGAGAGGTTTTGCATGAAGAAGACCCTTCAGCCCATTTGATCTCGTTCTTCCAGAAATACCTGTACTATAGTCCTCCCATTACAGGGTCTAGTTGATTTTTTTTTAATGAGTTCAACATATTGGCCTCAATGCAGGGAAGGGAGTGGTAGGGGGGACGGTGTGGAGTGCAGAATGACCACTCGCCTGAAATATGTGGAATGCAGATCCCACCGATCAGATCTTGTTACCTAAGCATCACAGGGAGAAATAGGCTGTCGCTTTTGCCACTCTCCTTACCCAAAGACAGAGTTGAAAAAGAAATGCGCTCTTATTAAATTTCTACATTTCAGAAATTCAATAATTTTTTTTAATAATAAAATTTGTTCAGAAATATCACAAATTTAGACCCCACGTGACGTTTATTTTATTGCTTTATGGGATTCAGTTCATAAGCAGAATAACAGTACTGAGAAGTGAGTCATACGTTAAAAACATACAATTGAGAAAGGTTTGCAAATTGAGCTGCAGTGTAACTGCTTTACTGAATTTGTCTTTGCATTTGCAGTCAAGGCTTCCTGGACACATTCCCTCGATTGGAACCACCTCCACCAGTCGCCAAAAAGCGGATGCCTCGGGCTCTGAAGACAACCCAGGACATGATGATATCATCCGATCCAGTGGTTCACAGCACCGATGTCTCTGACATCTCCTACACAGCCACAGCTGATGAAACCTCAATGCAAGAAGACACTAAGCCTGAAAAGAAGCCTGAAGAGATTGAAACCCCCCTCCCAGGAAGCATATTGAAGATGGTCCCATCTAGTGCCAATAGTGAGGCACAATTGGAGAATGAGCTCCGCAGCACTATAGAGAATGCAGAGGACATCTCTGAGCCTGTCCACTCAGTACCTGATCTTCTCAATAAAGAACCTGTAGATATCAAACTTAATCCGGCTGCTCACGAGAAAAGAATGGCTTCCTCGCCACTTCCAGACAAGCCTTGCCTACGGATCAGCATTAGTGAAGATGACATTTTGGAGAATGACTCTGAAGACTCGGGTGTGCCAAGGCAAAGATCCTCAAGCGTCGACAATGAAGAACTTCATCCAGATCTGCTGTCATTCGATTAGACTAAGGTCGGGGATGGTGTTTTTCATTAGTTAAAGCTGGAACTGCAGTGTCCTCTTTTGTTGGTTTCCCCACTACTTTCTCAATCCATTTTTAGCCTGGTTTCCAAAGGGAGGAAAAATGTACAACTTATTCCGGCTTATTTTATCTCATCCTAGAAAGTTTCACGGAAAGTTTTGTGCACTTTGTTTTGTTCTGGAATTCTTAATCTTCCATGATCGGTTGGAAGACCAGAACATAGATACAAAGCACGGCTTTCCCTAACCATGGAAAGGTGAGGTTTTAGAAACTATAAAACACGTGTCCAACGTATTATACACGTTCACGGATGAGTGTTGCTGCTTTCAGATTCCAAATTTCCAAGCTTCTGCTTGAGACATTATGAGGTGGCTGGTGTCTGGAAATCACAGACATTTTATTATTTTTATGATGGTTAAAGCTAAACAAACCAACAAACACAGGCACTGTTTTATCTAATTCACCAAAGTGACCAATAAACCCTTGCCATCATGAAGACGAATGCAAGCAATAAAACAACAAGTGCCTCTTTATGCCTTGTATAAATGCCGTGGTTTGAGCTTCGTGTAAACACAGAGTTAAATATTCTTTTATACACTTCCGGCAGACTGTGTAATGGAACGAACATCATGGTCTTTTGGAAGTCGATTGTGTTGCAGATTTATCTGAAAAGTTTCTAAGTGCTAAAATCACAACAAGGGAAGTTGCATTCAGGTTAATGCATCAAGAATAGAAATTAAATTGTATTCTAAGTTAATGTAGATTTTTTTTAGGAAAGATGAATTTATTTTAGATTAATATTACATTACAAAGTAAGTCAAATTAATCTTTATAAAGTACACATTTTATTAATAAGTCTGTCATACTGCCTTAACAGTAGCCTCCTTACAAAAGATTTTTGTAGAGAATGGATTATTTATGTGTATGATAGTTTGTTTTAACTGTCAACTCTTTGTTTCTCTGCCAAACAGCTTCTACCTGTATTAAAAACCTTTAATTCCCACTAACCTACAGTGCACTACTCTCCAGAGATAGTGTCTCAGGAAGAGTTGTATCTGAAATAGTTCCAGGGTTTCTGCAAGGGAAGTAACTTTATTTGACTTTCTTCCTCCAAATTCAGTCTGAATTTCAAGACGCCACAGATAGAAAAAAAGAGCTATATCCGTCCACCCTTTCCCCTCATAGAACTCTATACAGAAGTTAGTTATTAAGAGAGATTTCAGTAGATCAAACTAAATCCTCTCCTGTGATCAAATACTAATTATGAAAGGAATCTTGAGTTTTAGTATATTTCCACATAGTTATATTCTATAAAAAAGTAGATTTTATTAACACTTTCAATCTTTACTATTTTATGCAATATTTTATAAATCTCATGCCGAAAAGAATAAAGCCCAAACCCAAGGCTTCTTTAAATATATGTGTGTGCAGCCTGTTTATGAATCATTTCGATGTATTTATTTGGTAACGTCTGATATGTGCCATTAAAATCTTGTAAATATCCGTACGGAGGAAGCAGCTAGGAATGATTTAAACAACCTACATTCTGTATAATTCACTGCCTTGTTTTGTGTAATTAGACCAAGTGTACAGGGTACATCTGAAAATGGTTATCATTAATTTGTTACTTTTTTATTTTTTAGTGGTAAATTTATTGCTGCAATGACACATTCTGTACTGCATGAACAATTCAATCAGTCCTTGCTTGCAACTGTTGCCGGGTTTATGGAAAGAAATCACAGAATCAGTGCTTTGTTGTGGGAGGATTGTGACATTATTCAGTTTTTAGAGTTCAGTATCACAATTGTTTTGGGATGAATTGGTACGATTCCACCAATTGTCAGACACAATGCCAGTAGTTTGAGGAATTCTGCATTGCTTTACTCCATATCATGCCATTCATTCTTCTCTCGTACGTTTAGTCAATGACTTGTAACCCAAAACAATGACTTGTAACGCTTTTGTTTAATTACACTTTGAGTCATATTGATTTTACAAATAAACAAGTTGAATTTAAAAAAAAGCTGATAAATTTCTAATATAGTGTTATTGTTGTGCACAAAGTCAATACCAAATGCAGTATTTAAATAATTGCGGCTAAGGACAATTGATTATTTTTGGTATCATTTTGATGATTGTTGTACTTAGCACTAATAACGATAAGACATTTCCCCCTGAATTTTCTTGCAGGGGATTTCACCAGAATTCGAGAAAAAAAAATCAGAATGCCAATGTTCTTGCCTACATTCACAATCGATTCTATGAATTCTATGAAGCTGCTGGTTAATTTTCTAATTTGTTCATGTTTTGAATCGCTTCTTTTCAATGCCGCAAACCAGCCAGTAGAGGTTAGTCTGCGTCTCTTTCTGCCTCCTTGTGGTAGTTCTGAGTTATTGCCTGCCACATGGCAAGACTTGATGAAATTGCGTGTTTCATTTTGTATCGATTCGTTTTCAAATCCTTCCAGTCTACTTAACAAAGACACGGTTGAGGTTTTTAATCATCCTGCAACTTTGCACCACCCGTATCTGAAAATGACCAATCTCTCAGTATCTTAGGAAAAAATGTACGTTTCATTGTAATGATTCACTCTTAACTTATTCATAGTAGTTAATTGTTCACACTATGCATCTGTGCGGTTTTAGCTGGTTAGGCTCCAGCAGTCCCCCAACACACACTCTAGGGTCCCCAAGCCTCGACTCTTGCCAACCTGCGCCTAATAAGTAAGCACGATGCATCCCTCCAGGGAAAGAGTAGGCATTCCATCCCAACAACCTGTCTCAGGTAGGATACATGGAATTCTCAGTTTGGTTTGGATACTCTTAAGGATGGTGATGGGTTTCCGATGTGTCAGACACCCGGCTGATCAAAAAAAAATTCACACTATGAATCACATTTGAAGGGTTATGCTTTGAGGATGTAACTTAAATTGCTCAATGTCATTGAATGGGGGCAGTTAAAGATGTGGATAACTCAACCAGCTGGCATTAGGGTTGCCCGATGTAAGCCAACATGCGGGATGTTATACAACGCAACTTATGAACCAGCAAATGAAGGAGTTTTTCCAGAGAGTGGAGGGAATAGCTCCTCGTTATTTGAAGTTCTCAATCTATTTACAGCAAACTTTATGACAACTATTTTAATAATTGGACCTCTTAAAATGGTGATACTCAGTGGACTGATTTGTCAAATGCCTATTCCTCCCTTACGCTGAATCTCATTGGTTGAATCTCAGCCACATGCCTCATTTTTCCACTTGTCATCTAATGGAATGCTTCACAGGACAAGACAGTAACAGGAGTGTTTTGGGAATATCATTTATAATGCAGAATGAACCTTTGAGCACTGGGACCAGTTATCTGTCAAAGTTTTTTTTTAAAAATGTATACAGTAGAGGCTGATAATTCATTCATGTGGTCTAATTAGTCCAGACGTCAGCAGTCTGAGAAGCTCTGCAGAGCACAAAGCAAAGATATTTTCTTTTGTTAATTCCTTCATTGTAAGGACTTCCGAGTCTGAGACTGCCACAAATTAATAGGCAGAGAATATGTTTAGATCTTGGGCACCTGCAGACTACCAATACTGCGAATTTTAAAGTGTTTTATTATTACTTAAAATCCACTAATGGAAACATTCTGCCTCCATACCTCTGCAGCTTAGTGACAGGGTAGAAAGCCATCTGCCTAGGTGACTTCCAGTCCTAATCTCATAGCCCTTTATCATATCATCGAGATGTTTCAAATATATGCTGTGAAGTGCTGTGACTGTGTGTATTTTGAGGGATTGTGGACAGCAACAAGAGGGATCCAAAGATCAATTTAGTGATGTCAATAGGCTGTCATGTTAAAAGAACAGAGGTCCTTTAAAGAAAAGATCTGTAAAAATTGATGCCATCGTTTAGTAAAGTACCAAGATATGGAGCAAATCCAAGCTTGGAACATTATCTGCAGAGAAATAGCCAATAGTCCAAAGTATCCTGCAGGTAAGCAATTGGAAAATTGTATATTTTTTAACTTGCATTTTATTATGAATTCCTGTTGGATGTCACTCAGTATTTATTTTGTTTTTGCCATAATGGGCAAAACTGCATCTTTCCCTACAAGGTTAATAATGAAGGAACAAAATAAACTTGGAAATTTCGTTCAGCATCCAACTCATTTGTATCAAATATAAATGTTATGCTGTAAGTACAATGTACTTATAAATAATACAGGATCAATATTACAATGTTTAGGATACTACTTGTGCCAGGAAATCACTGACTATATTTTGTTAATGATCTACCGTGCTGTATGAAGGAATGGATTCAATTACTCTTGTTAAACCTAATTTAGGAGCATGTGTTAGATCAGTGGTGGAGCATGCTGGAATCTGATTAATTCTCTTAGGTGCCTTACTTACAAAACAATTGCTAACCATTCATTCTCCTACACTGGTTCTGAGAAGTAATTTGTTCTCCTACACCGGTTCTGAGAAGCGAGGCTAAATAAGACTTATGCTTAGTAATGTGATCAAGATGTTAATCTATTAAACATGCTTAGTTACCTTATGCTGACTAATAGACACCAGGAAATATTTAATCTGCACTACTTTAAACATTAAAGTCTGGTGATCTGGAACACTAGAGACTGTCTTTGGATCAAGAAACAGACCTGCAGCACAAATGCAGCCTGGAAACATGTCAACTCCAGAGGGATGCAGGACGTGATTCTTGAAGTAATTTTATTTCTTTACAATATTCCTTAATGTTTTGTACTGTTAGCTTTATAAACTACTATCTACTAGATATGCTAAACTAACCTTGATCTAGAATACCCAGGAAACTGAATTTCCCTTCCAGGTGAAACCGAACAAAAACATTGAGTGGTTGTAGAGCTTTTATCAAGGTTGTCCTTACAAATGATACCTTTGTGCCTGTTTGGTCTGAACTAATGTTTTAATATTATATTAAATTTAAATTTTGTGCAACAGAACAGGGAAATGCAATTTCTGCTTAGGGTAAATGTCATGGCGCCCCAGGATAATAATAAATTGTTTTCAATTGTTTAACTCATTCTTATGAAAATACTCTTGAGAGGTAATAAGATTGTTAGCAACATTTATATTGAAGATCCTGTGAAAGTATAAACTTTTCCAATTTGAGATTCTATATTACTTTTAAGTATTTTTGATCAAATGTGAAAGGTGCTTTGTAAATGGTACTGTAAATATTAATTTGATTCAGGTAAAATTATTTACTTCCTGCTCACCAACAAGATTACATTTGTATAGCGCCTTTCACGTTGGGAGGACATCCCAAGGCGCTGGACAGAGTACAGCATTCAGACCTGAGCTGGGGTCAGGGGGGAGAAGGGAGGGGAGGCGAAGGGGGGTGACCAACGGCATGGTCGAAGAGGAGGGTTTTGAGGCTCAGTTGAAGGAGGCTAAGGAGGGGGTGAGGCGGAGTGACTGGGGGAATGTAATTCCAGAGATTGGGGGCAGAGTGGCTGAAGGCTCTCCCACCAATGGTGGGGCAGGTGGGTCGGGGAACGTGGAGCAGGCCAGAGCCGGCTGAGTGGAGGGAGCGGGCGGGTTGGTAGGGGGTTAGGAGGTCGCAGAGATAGGGTGGAGCGAGGCCATTGAGGGCTTTGGAGGTGAGGACCAGGATTTTGAACTGGATCCTCTGAAGTATAGGGAGCCAATGGAGTCAGGCAGTGAGGGAGATGGGGTCATGGAGTTTGGTGCGGGAAAGGACACGGGTTGCCGAGTTCCGGATTATCTGCAGCCTGTGGAGGGAGGAGTTGGGAAGGCCGACAAGCAGGGTGTTTGCATAGTCGAGGCTGGAGGTGATGAAGGCATGAAGAAGACTGAGGCCTAGGGAGTGCGGTAGTGGCGGAGTTGGGCGATGTTACGGAGGTGAGGGAAGGCAGAGTGGGTTATGCCTTGGATGTGGGGAAGAAGACAGTTGAGGGTCGAACAAGACACCTAGGTTCCTGACTGGCTTGGTGAGTTGAAGTGTGCAACCATGGAGGTTGATGCTGCAAGAGCCTGAGGTGCAGAGGCGCGAGCCAATCACCAAGACCAAATCAATTAATTGGCAAGGATTTAAACTATGTTGATAAAAGAAAACTCACATGAACTTCTAATGGCAGTTTTCGTACACATGAATGATTCCCTCGTTCCCTGACCTGCACACCAATTATGACTGAGAAATGTAACTAGTACCCTCACCTATGGTCTGGGCTGCAAGGAGATTTATATTTGAAATAAGCAGAGACCGCTGGGATTCCTGTGGGGTATTATTAAACACTGACTTGGTACTTTAGTGTGTCATTGTGGCTCAGTTGATAGTAGTATTTCCTATGAGTCAGAAGGTTGATAGTTCACAACCTTGAACTAGGGTAACACTCCAATGCAGTGCTGCAATAAGATTTTTTGCAATAACTGGATGCATTCAAAAACACTGCAGTGCCGTAGGTACCATCCATGAGATTAAACCAACGTCCTGTCTGTCTGTTCAGATGTGGACATCAAAGATCCCATGGCACTATTCAAAAAATTTTTTTTTTTGTGTCCTGGTCAAAGGTCCCCCAAATAAATTTGGTCATTCATTCATGGCTGGTTGTGGGCATTGCATTTTACTCCATATCCTTTCTGATGTTCTCCTGACATGAAAGGTCCTATATCAAATGTAAAGGCTGATTTATTTACTTCAGTTGCATAAGCAGGATTAGGAATGCAATGGAATGGTCTTAAAAAAAGTCTATGGTTTCCACAAATATTACAACCAATGTATAAAAACTCATAATGGGTGTAAAGAATGCAAGAATTAAAAAACAGATTTTCATAAGAATGCACCAGTTCTTTCATTCAGGTAGTTGTTTATTGTCACTAAAGCATAAGGCCGTGATAACAGTATTTCACCAAAAGCAGATAATGCTAAAAGTCACAGTAACATTTCTTTCAAGACAATCTGATGTACAAAAACAGCAGAATGCTTTTCACACATCTTCATTCATGTACTAAACCCTACGAAAGGTGGAGAATGCAACATTGCTTAGCCTCCAGTATTTCACAAAATTGTTCAGAGCACACTTGGGAGTTGGTTGAAATATCACTTAGCTACCTGCATGTTGATGTCATTTAGTAAAACTGCATATATTCCCCCATACCTATTGCCAGTAAATAAATTACCCAATATCCAAAATGTCTAACATTTTTTGCTACACAACTGAGTGCATTCAAAAACACTAACACTACTTTGAATAATTTGGAGATTGTCAAAGTTACCAATCATGACATTGCCTTGTATTAAGCTTTGTGTTTCAAGTATATTAAAGGCAAATTTGAACTTGGGTGCTAAACTGGAAAATTACTCCACTAATGTACTACTGGAAGAGTAAATGACAATCTCAAATACCTTGAGTTCCAGCTAATCATATTTAAGATGTTGTCATTTTAATTACAAATGCAAAACTCTAAACTGGGACAAGTATGCAAGTGTAGAGGTCTTTTTACGAGTTTTTGGTTAGTGACTTTACCGTTTTAAAAAAACAGTGAATGCTCACAAACCAATTTGTGCAAGTTACTTCTTTGTTTGGACATTTTTTAAATATATACATGTATATTATATATATGCACATATGTAAAAGCATTACTTTAGACCACCTTTATAGGAATATAACCTGCAAAACAAGCTCCCAAGTATCCAGTTGCAAACTGTTCTCTAGTATTTTCTTGCATGGAAAAATACAGCGTGACTTTTCTTGTTGCATTTTCTGCTTCAAAATCCCTTCCCCACAAGTTTGGGTCTCATTAAGTAGGTCATGTGCTAGAATTCTATCCATATGGTTATTCGCTTTTCAGTGCAGTTAAGTAATTTTTAACTTTCAAATCTTCCTGAAAAGTTTATTGGACATTGATAAATTTGCAAAATTTGAACTTTTAAACATTGCAGCATAGTGATGTGCCAATATGTTAATGTATTAAATCAGAAGCTCAATTGCTGCTTTAGTTCACCTTTATCAATAAAACAAACACACTCATTCTAGCTGCTATGAGCAGATAAATTAAAAGATTTTCTATACAAATTGACAGCATTTCATAACAAGCACAGATCTATACACTTTAAATTCCACCAGTCACTTATGCATTCATACATTCATGGGATGCTGTTGCTTTCACAATTTATTTTCAAAAAATATTTATACAATTGTAATTCTATTATGTAAAATTTAAGGAAATGGCAAAGCCACAGGAACACTTTTATTTCACAAGAATCCAGGACAGTAAATGCTTTCATTAATACAGGTACATTTAAGTGGAAACACAAATATGTAACGAGCATGCTTGGCACTATATTTTTAAAGCTATGCATTCAAGAACTGGCTGTGGACTGCTCAACCCAACAAGTAAAGATTTAATTTTTTTTGAGGGGGGAGGCAGAATAATTAAACAATATCAGTGTTTCCCTATATGTACAAAATATTATTAAAAACAAATAACTATAAGGTATCAGTTTGCTGAAAAATTAGTAGCTAAGTAGTGAATCGCGTAATTTTATTGCGGGTCTGAGGTGCACGAGGAGGTAACCAAAAAAAGTTTAGAAACTACACGTTTTGAACCTTTGTAATTCCACATCTTACGACCAAATGCTTTGAGCGGTGCATACTTTGTTTAAGCGCTCTGGGACACTGTCCTGCGTGAGGCAGCTATATAAATGGAAGTTGTTGTTGTTCATAATTTCTTAATGGTAACTTATCATTTATAATGGTTTCAAACATTTGGTGCAGTTTCTAAAGAAATACACTTTGAAGTTGCTGTGGAATTAGTTTAACCATAATCCAGAAATTCTACTACGCCACTCATTTCTAATTTTCTTCCAACGGGTGTACTTTGGAAATGGTCACCTAATAACACATAACAATGCACGTCAGCTCAACCTCAATACACATTTTAAGTCCAAGCTGTCAATATAAGTGACCTCTGATTAAAGCAGTTACATCAGAATTTACATTTCATACTAGTATATTAAAGCCTGCAACAATGCAATATAAAAATACAGTAGCTTGCAGCCAAAAGACCAGCTGATTCCTGAAGTTAGCATCATAACCAAATCTGTTCACATGTTTGTCTTGGGACAAACTCAGTTTTGGAAGTAATGAAAAATAACAACTCATTCAGAATAGAGCATCACATGCACCCAAATAATTTCTAGGATTCAAAATAAGCGATTCTAAGCTGTACTGACACTATACACGCAGCAAATGTAATATCCTGGGACAAAAAAAGCTAAATCACAGCAAAGATGGCCTATTTTTGTTTTAAAGCACGCAAACTACACTTTTAATCAACAGCACCTCAGCCTAATGTATACTATCTATGAAAAAGAAAACCCCCAAAAATACATTTATCAGAGAAACATTACAGTGGAAGATTTTTGCCAACTATTATCTGGATTGAATCCAGATATGAAATACAGACCTCTGACCCTGAGACTTTTGGGATGATCCTGTAAAGTCCTTTATAAAGCTATCATAATTCTATTTGGGCAATGTCTTGATTTGTGGAATTGCATTGTATGATTTTTTTCCTTTCCCATCATAAAGCTAGTTTATTTGGATAGAGCAATGAGTTTAGGCAAGCAAAGGGTATCCAAAATCTAAAAGGTTACCGTGGTTTATTTAAAATTTAAAAGTTCTGGCAACTTTCTTAGGAAAATTCAGAGGTACATTTAAAAAAAAATTAACTGAATCCCAGTAGGTAACAAAGCAGCTGGTCTAAACTCATTGCTCCCTCCAAACAAACTAGCTTTTAAAAAAAAATGAACTGAACCCCAGAAGGCAACAAAGCAGTAGTCTGTGGTCTTTAAAATGGTCCTGGACACATTTCATTTCTTCACACATTCTTCTTCAACAGTGCAAAAACACTCGTTTCCTGCTTAGTTCTTGCATTAATAGCGCTTTGAAAGACGCTATATAAATACAAGTTTTTGTTGTTAATAAAATACAAAAAGTGGAGCGACTGTATATTTTGTCATTTCATCCAGTCACTCCACTTTACTGTGTCCTGTGAAACGCTTTGAGACGTCTTGACGATGTGATATATGCAAGGATTATTTTTATTATTAAAGACCTGGAAAACCTAATTTCAACAGTCATTTGTGGAAACGCTACTATTATTTCCACTCCCAAATTATTTCCACTCTGAGGAATGTGGCAAATGCTATAAGGCAGCATCTTCAGCTATTTTGGCTCGAATTTCTTTTGCATAGGACAGCACACAAATTAAGGTGGGGAGGGTGGGGGGGAGGAGAGGGGAAAGGTGCGTGCAAGCTCACCATACAGTATCACACATTCACTACCCTCTGTAAATAATCATTACTAAGTAAATGAGTAATCCAAAATCTGTACAATTTAGTTTGGCTTTGATAACTTCAATTTGCCTTCTTTAAAAGTTGCAAATACTGTACCAATATTACTACCGTCCCTAAATTAAACAGTTTGTTTGGTGTAGAACAATTTATGGTGCAATTCTATGGTGGCCATGAAATAGGAGATAAAATTACTTAATCTGTGTAGCCGATGCTCTTTGAATGTAACTAATTCTGTCATAGCTAGGTTTTCTGAAAAAAATGACTGGAAAATGGTTAATTTCTGTCCAGTGCTTTGGTACAAACTTAATCTTAATTGTTGCATATTCTATGGCAGTTGGCATGGTGGTGAATGTAGAAGAATGTTACCTCAGCACTTTGTAAACACAGTGCAATAGTATACTTTGACGTAAATAGCAATCGGTATCTAAGTGAACAATCCATTCTCCTCTATGAAGATGCATTCTTGGCAAAGGCTGAGCAACAATCTCTCTATAAGAAAGAGGCAAAGGGGCCACCTGTCTGTGTTCAAGACACAATAACAGGAGTTAAATGAAACATTTAATGTTGCTTGGCTCATTAGGAGGTAAACAAATCAATATTTCTGCTTTGTCAAATTTATACATCAATCATAAGATTTGTACTCAAAGCACTCTATTGTTATGTAAACATAACCTGAAAAGCTATGGGGTTCACTTTGTAACCATATTTAGTTTATATATTTTGATCACCAAAAAAGCTTCTTCCCAAAGAAAGGTTTGGATGATAGCACCTTTCTCAGTGCGAAATCTACAAACCTATGTAGTTCTAACGGGCAGTGCTCAATTCCTGTATTTAAGTATAGCTCCTTCAACCATGTAAAAATCATCAGCAAAAACTCCCTGTTTTGTAGCCTAGGGCACAGATTCGTTCTAAGCAACTGTGTTTTGAATTGTCACCTCTCAGTCTTCTATAAAGGGGTTAAAGTGCATTTTTAAAAAATAAAATCCCTGCAACCCTTTAATCTGTATAATGTGTGTAGCACTATAAAAATATGTTGCTACATTTGATGTCCTTCTGATACATGACCTAAGTATGGAGTGAAGTCCATTACAACAGATTGGTGGAACTTCATGATTTGCCTTTCTTGGTCGCAAAGGGCCTTGCAAATATTCTCAAGCATAGTGATTACAGGCAAGAAATTAAAACCAGAGTAACAATTAGTGGTATGAGTGCCTGAAAATCAATTAAATAAAACCAATGAAAACCTTGAAACTCAAGTCTGATAATGATTCACTACACTAAGTTTATATTCAAATTATACTGAAGTTACAATATGCGTTAGCTTCTATAATAGATAAGCCGTAAGATTGTATTCAGCAATTGTGATGAGCATACATCCAGAAGAACCTTGTGAGCTGCCGAGTCTATTGAAGCCTATCCAGTCACAAATGTTTGATCAGCCTAAATTAGACTGGCTTACCTTTTATCATTGGTCAGATTTGACTGTGGCAGTAATATTCTTAAAAAAGCTTTAGGTAGCTGGGAATTTAGACAAGCAAACCTCACCAACTAAAGGTGACGCAACTAGGCATGTAAAGATTGATAAACTGTCTATGAAGGTAAGTAGTAAAAACTGAAATTAATAGAACATTACAACAAGCCCGCACACCCCATTTGCTATTAGAGGATTGGATTTCAAGGCAAAGATGACAATGTGGAAGCAACTGCACATGTACAAACTTGTTCATGTACAGCTAACCAACATGTTGCCTTATCTTCTGGATCCTTTTTCCAATTTCCTGGGAAGTTTAGTACACTTAAGCTTGCCCAGAAAACGTAACAACCAGCACGCTTGCAGATGCTATTTTAAGCGCCTTGGGACGTCCTCCCAGCATGAAAGGCGCTATACAAATGTAATTTTGTATTGTAAGCTTGCTGTGCCAGAGGCAATGCTGTAAGATAAATGAGGCTTTGGCAAAAAAAAAAGTTCATTTCAGATATGGTTGGGAACAGGGTTGTGAAGGGCAAGTTTAGGACAAATGGTGAGATGGATTTCCTTACAGACTGAGGCCAGGGCCCTGAAAATATGAAAGAAATAGCTAAATGCTTTAATGGTGAGATCGTAATGTTGGTTGGTATTCAAGAAGGATGAGATCATTATGTGCCAATGCTTTATCTTGTTGTGAAGCTGAAGCTAATATGCAACTTTGTTTCCCCTCATTGACATGTTATGGTGCATGTTGTCTACTGACAATCAAATATTCCAGCAGTTGTTATCCACTTGTGTTCGTGTCAAGCTATGGTAAGTTTTTGCATCTCCAGGCCACAGAACAGTAACAAAGCTATTCTCATAAAAGGCAAAAAAGTAAATCACCTTAATGCCTTCTCTAATCCAGGACAGTCTCCTACATATCCCTGAATATAAATATATCTGCAACACAAACCCACATACACAAACCATTCAAGTCGTTTGGTTGGTATACCCAGGCCAAAAAAGCACCACCAAGGATGTCTTCAGAAATGTTGTGCTCAGTTGCATCCATCCCTTCTATCCACATTATAGAATGGTTGGTTAATATTTGTATATTAGAATCCTTAAAGCAATCACATCCTCTGCATCTATTGTACTTCAAGTATTTAAAGCTAAATCCCTTGCCAACGTTGTCAATATGATTTCCAGCAACTTTATTGTTAAGAAAATTTAAATTAATTGCTTTCCACCCTCCCCCAATTTGCAAAGTTTTGTTGTTTATTTAGGATCATTTTCATCTTTAGTCATCATCACCAACTCAGATTTAACAAGGAAACTCTTTAAAATGAACTTGGTAGCTCTGGCCAGGGAGAAAGGCGAATTTAGCACTTAACTTTTATCAACCAAATGCATATTGCTATCATTTCTAGTAATAAAATAGATTCTGTTAATACCATACAAGCAGACTTGAGTGCATTAATCCCTAACTTGTAAACCTGTTCTAAACTAGCAGTTAAATTGATGCTAGCTTTCGCATAAAGGAAACGAGTAAGACATGTAATCTTTTTCACCATATACAATGGTGAGGAATATTTTAAAAGGGCCTTGGGTAATGTAAAAGTCGCCTAGCTCAGCTGTGATCTAGTTGTCAGTAACTACAGTGTGGTATAGGTATCCTCTCTTATAGGCACTCAGTGGGTAGAATGTTGCCACAACAAACTTGCCATCAAACATTCTTCCAGTCAGCATCTGCTGGGCTACTTTGCAGTCAATAGCATTTCCATATTCAACAAAAACCTAGTTTTTAAAAGAAAGATAATTAGTGCACATTTAGAAAAACATATTTGTACATTGGACTTTTACACAACAAACAATACTGGCAATAAATTAAAACAATAAACAAGTATTGTAAGTATTGATTGCTAAAATCATTGTCAGAAATTATCTAAAGATCCTAATGATGAAATTTGAAGCCTTGAGGGAGTAATTCAAGCTCACCTTTTGGATTTTATAACCAGTTTGTGACTGGCAGAGAGAAAGAGAACCTGAGGCTACCTGGCCAAAGTTTCTTCCTTCTACACCAATTCTGGTGCCAGATCTCCCACCCAGAATACTACCTTTCCACAAAGGAGAGAGAAAACATCATGGTAAAAAAAAAATGTGGTGTAGATATTTACCTGGCCTTTACCAGGATTTTCCTTTGGGACAAGCAGAGACAGAACTCGTCCAAACTTCTGACACTCTTCCCTCACATCTTCCACGACATCTAGTGCAAAGCAGAATTTAGTTTTCAATTTAAATTCCAATATTCTCAGGCACATTTTTAAAACTAACAGTTAAGGATGTTGGAGTAACACCACATCCTCTCCAATATTTAACTGTTCTGAACATAACATGAACAAATCAACTGACCTTCATACTCTTCTTCACTCTGAAGATAGCTGTCATCAATAACATTGAGCAGTCTCAAAACTGGGGTAGGCAACAACACCAAATCTTCAATATGAGGTGCTGTTAATGAAAGTTAACATGACAAATTTAATACTTCAGCTTTGGGATCAAATTTTTCATGTAATGTGGAAAGCAATTCAAGGACTAGTGGACATTCTATACTAATTCTATAACCTTAGGTAAGTAAACCTCTAGAATATACGATATGTATAGAATGCTGAACTTACCAAAAGGAATACTAAATAAAGGGCTGCACAAAGCATGTTCTGCAGTGGTTCGATGTGCTGGATCATCAAGAAGCATACTATAAATCCAGATAATGAAAACAAGGGTGAATCATAGTTTGGTACATTTGCATTTTAATGAATTTCAAAAATAAATGCACTACAATTTATTTTAAACAGTAATATGTACATGAATTTCTGACGACTCTAAAACAATAAATGTCAAGACTCGTCTACTAGAAGGGGTAACTGTGTGTGACTTTCTTGAATAACGCTGCTTTTGAGAATGGTATTAAAACGCATACTGACAATGTCTTGAAAAATATACCCACTTTAACCAAATAAAATCCCAGCTCTTCTCGAACTAATACAGGCTACATAAGAATATTGGAAGGGAACAGCTTATTTTGATCAGATTAGAACCAAAACGACGGAATAGAAAACTTTATTTTCCCTTTCCATCTCTACTTCTCTCCCCCCAGCAGTGAATATGCTGAACTACTTCAAACATAAAAAGATGCTACTACACTTCAAGAATAGATAAATCAAGATTGTGATTTGGTATATAACTCTTCAGCACAATTATTACAGGATAAACTGGGACTTGTTAGCTAGATCATGAATGCTTGTGTTTTACCTTTTGATAAGATCTCTGAGATGATAAACAGGGATGGCTGAGTAAACCACATCTTTACTTGCAAAGATACAATCGATGATCGTGGAGCTGTTTGCCTAGATTGAAGAAAATGGAATTACAAAATTCTGATCAAACATAAAGTAACAATCTTGAAAGTAATCATCAGTATTTTGATAATTTGATTCTTTTGAAAACTATGATCGAGTTTTCTATCAGCATTTTTCTATCGCCTGTTAAATTCCCTATCATTGATGCCAAATAGGTATGCTTTCCATTATTGTGGGGATAAACAGACCTAGCAATAAAAACAAAAAATTAGATTTGTATAGTGCCTTTCACGTCAGGAGGACATCAGCAGCTAGTTAGAGACAGCATTGACCAAGGCCTGGAAGCATGGTATCTGGTCATGAAATAATTTATGGGGGAACAAAATATTGTTTACAAAGCTAAAAGATAAAAGTAAAGCACCAAAGGTCATACACAACATGTGGAAAAGTTCAAGTAATTTCCAACCCCAACCCAGGTTTTCAAAATTATTTTAAATTGTCTGCTTCATAAAACCTGAAAATTTAGCAGCAATATGTACTTTCCTTTCCTCTTCCCATATTTGGAAAGAAGCATCAGAGCAGATATTTCTTTAATTTTATTTAAACAATTGTACAAAAGATTCAAACTTTCCTAAGTTGAAGGGCTATGGATGCAATTTGTTACTTGCAGATATGCAACAAAGAGAGACTTGCATTTTTCGGTTGGTACATTTGGCTGGTACCATTTACTGATGGGATCTTTCCTTTAACAGAGTTTGGCAGCCTATAGCTTGTAGCTTAGTGGTTAGAGCATACACCTCACAAGCGAGAGGACCTGGGTTCAATTCCCGGGCAGGGCTAACTGTTTGGCAAGCTTTCTTATTCCACTTGCCTCTGTTTACCTAGCAGTAAGTAGGAACCTGGTTGTTAGTCGATTGTCAGATCGCTTTTCTGGGGGTAATAATCCCTTAAAATAAATAACAAAATAATACTTTGGTCACTCAATCCTTCATGTTGGTGGGACACTGCTGTGCACAATTGGCTGCTGCATTTCACCCACAAAACATAGTCAATTCGCTTTACAGTATATTCTATGAAGTGCTATGAGACACCTTAACGACTTAATAAGGCACTATATCAAATGCAAGGATTATTATTGTACTTTTGATGCATGAAAAAAAACTGACTTTCATTTTGAAAAATTATTTCTATTACAGTTCATGACAGATACAAGCAAACATCTTACCTTCCACTGTGGAGATTTGACAGTTTCCTTCAGTTTAATTCCTGAAAACATTTCCAGTAAAACAATTCCAAGACTCCACAGATCAACTGCCGTAGTACATTCTACGTTACTTTCCACTCCCATCTGTGCTAGGATGTTGTGCAATTCTGCTTCTGGAGCCCTGTAACCATCTGTCTGAATATATTTTACATCCTGTATGGCACAGAAACATGTAATAAGATATTGTCAGTCACTGTTATGTCAGGTAAACAAATGTTAGTATCTATTTCTATAACAATCAATGTTTTTTACATATCTGCCTAAGCTTTTATTGCTTAAAAAAAATGTGGACTGCTTCATGCACTTTAAATTGGAAGTAGTGACAAGAGTTTCAGAATGGGATACAGGATTTATAATTCTTGCTTTGAATCGTTCTAGTTGGAGGCTGGGAGTTATGTTTAGGCATTACTTATAAGAGTATTTTAATCTTGCACCATTGAAAATGGTTCCTTAAAATTTTTCACCAAGCAAAAACTTGGAAGGGTCCATTTTTCAATTTGCGCAATCCACATTTATACTGGATGCCTTTAAGCCATTTGGATTCTGTGAACTGGATGTATAAGTGGGTGCTGGAACCAGGTGGGTGCCAAAACCAGGTGGCTTGGCACCCACTTGGTTGGAGCACAAGTAATTTAGCACTATTGATGGTGAATCATCCCAATAAGCACTGAATAAATTAGGCATTACTGAACTTCATTATTTTTAGTACACCTTCAGCAGCTTTCTCCATCAAAATAGTTTCTTTCCAAAAATCCAGCTAGTTATTTATTCTTTATAGTTTAATGAGTCGTTTATATTATTGTATTACCACTTTGTAGGTAAATACAACTTATATATCCAGTTCACAGAATCCAAATGGCTTAAAGGCATCCTTTATTTACAGTGAAATTCAATTTCAATTAACTGCTAATTTTATCTTAAAACTAAATGGAGCAAATAATTGAACTCTTCTGAAATTGAAAAAAATCTACAACTTATTCAATACAAATATTCCATCCACTGTTAAAAAAAATTGTAAAATAAAGAAGTTTCCAGAACCCTCCTAACCCAAATAAATTTCATTATTTTAAAATAACTTTAAAATATTTGAAGAGTTCATCCAGTGAGGTTGCTGAATTTTATAGTTTTGAACAGCTAGAGGCTTTTTGAAATGTGTGTATATATGTCTGTGTACACAAGGCATACACAACCAAACAAGGAATCAATGCTTAATCTAATTTTAGCACATTTTGCAGGTGGGTCATATTTTTGTGGCTGTATTAAATCTGAATTGTACCAACCATATATTGCATCTCACCACTTGTGACTTGTCACCCTCCCCTGAGATTTCTTCAAATGAAAGGAACCCAAGAACACCTATGCATCGGCAATTTGACATCATGCTGGTTCCAATACCTAGCCCCACATAGAAGTGCTTGATGGTTTTTTTATAATCGTGTTCAAACTTTTGTATTTCAGTACGATGGAAATCTGCATAAATTAACTTTTTAATTTTGTTTTTACCTGATTTCCTTCTTGAAAACTAAGCCCAAAGTCAATGAGCTTAAAGCATTCATCCTCAGCACTCCAGAGGACATTGCACGGTTTCAGGTCAGCGTGTACATAACCCTCCCGGTGGATGAAGGCTAACGCTTCCAGAACATCCCGGGCACAGTGCTGGATCATCCACATTGAATGGCCTCGATTAATGGAGTGCAGCAGTAGGTCAGAGACACTGACATCCAACAATTCCAGCAAAAGGCAGTTGGAACGCACATTCATGAAGGGCACATGAGAATATGTCCCATACAGAGTCACTGGAAATATAAAGAGAAACTGGTTAATTATCCATTTTGATTTTTAAAAATAAGTATACAGCCTTACTTACTGTTCTGCAAAATGAATAGCAATATGAAAGTCTGTATTACTACAACATGGACCCCAAGAAACTAGAATGCAATATCAATTAACCTGCTATACACAATAATCAAATCAGATATTTACTATTTTTTTAGAAAGCTGATAATAAACCCAGGAATTAACTCTACTGAAATATTGTTATTGGTGTATTGAGTTTATAGCACGTTTTCAAAGCACCTGTAGTCTTTTATAGTGTGTTTGTACTGCATCTGCATTCTGGTATTTGCATATTAGTTGACATACAAGCCTCTTCACCCGGATTTATTTTGTTTTTAATTAGCAGACCCCTTCACTTGTATCTCACGTTTTTTATTCCAACCAAATTATTAGTGAATGATTCCTTGGCTATAGACCAACTGGACGTTATGAGGGTTGTGTATTTATTCACCTTCACTTTTGGCTTTTATATCATCTGTTTCACCCATCACAAAGAAGTAGCAATTCTTGCCATTATAGTTTTGTTGAAAATCAGCTGCTGTAAATGAGGGTTGGTAGGAACTAAGTGCTAGATAGAAGAATTACAATGCCTCTTCAAACTGTAGATATTCAAGTAACTGGATCAGTCAGCTCAATCAGAATAAAGACTGGAAGCACTTCATGAGATTTAATGATAATGCTTGCATTTGATATAGTGCCCTATCACTTCTTCAAAAAGTCTCAAAGCGCTTCACAGAATATAACTGTAAACTGAATTGACTATATTTTGTGAACGGAACTACATTTCCTGCAAAAGGTAGTGGCTGTGCGTTGAAATGTGAATAAAGCTATTTAAATTATTTCCATCTCTAACGAACTGACCATCTCCTCCCTCGCCACCAAAATATTGTTTACTTACAAAACACACAGCCGCTACTTTTCGCAGTAAATCTCATGAAGTGCTTCCCGTCGTCATCCCGACCCAGAAGGTCTGACTATATTTAATAGTGACGCCAAAAGCCTAATAGCACTTCCAATGGTTTTTTTTTATATTGCGGCTCGTAATATATGGACATGGCTGCGTGGTTCAATTGTAGTGATCAAACTAATAATAATGTAGAATCAAAAAGCCATTAAGAGAGCAGTAAGTGTATCGAGGACTGGTGTGATGCTTTTCTTGACTGGTATTCACGAGTACCTGGTTCGGGATCCTGGAAGTGGTGACGGGGCTAAGGAGGGTTGGGCATTACCAATTACCCACATCAGGGATCCAATTTAAAAATTAGAACCAAAACATCTGGTTTATGGGCGCGCCTTCAAATGCCTAACACCTGGTGGAAGAAATTAACACCTGGTTTTAAAGTGCACTTTCTGAACAGAAACCCAAATCTTGTCCAGTCTACATTTTGGGGACTGGCGTTTGAAATGGGGACCGGCGCTGCAGACTGGGTGGGTGAGGGGGGGGGGGGGGAGGAGGAGAGGAGAGGAGGAGGAGGGCGAGGGGGTGAAGCCCCGGGTGCCAGACCGAAGCCTTGCACTTTTGTGTTGATCTATAAAGCCCGGGAAACCCCGAGCCCGGGTAACTGGCGCGATGTGTTTGTGGAGTCGAAGCCACTTCTGCCGACATTAAAGGCGCTCTCTCTATATATATATATATATATTATACATACGTGTGTATGCAATGTGTTTGATATTGCCGTGGCGTCTCCGGCCCACCCGCACCGAGGCCTTTCTCTCTCTCTCTCTCTATATATATATATATACATATAATAATAATCCTAATATCATAATATTATTTAATATATAAACCGCCCCCCACCCCTTCTCTCTCCGGTGACACTCGCCACAACCACTTACCGATGTTCCTGTGGCCCTGCAGGTCCTCCAGGACCTGACTCTCGGTCAGGAAGCCGTAGTCGCACTTGGTGTCCAGCACGAACTGTTTGACCGCGGCCCGGGCCGGCCCCGAGGCCACCCGGTAGACGGCGGCCGACGACCCTTTGCCCAGGCAGCCCTGGGCCCGCCACATCCTGCCGTTGGCGTGGAGAAGTCCCGGGGCCCGGTACCGGTTCCAGTGCGGGCCGCCCCTGGGGCCTCGCGGGCCCCTACCGCCGCCGCCGCCTCCGTAGTGGGCCATTCGCCGGGTGAGAGGTGGGAGTTTCGGCGAGTAACGAACAGAGAGAGAGAGAGAGAGAGAGAGCGAGCGAGAGGCCAGACACGGGCCTGACGAGTGTGGGGTAAATGGAGCCTGCGAGCTGGGCCACCGCTCCCCGCCTCCCGTGTCGTCGCCTCCCCCGTCGCCGTTTGTCGGAGCCTCACTCACTCGGCCGCCAACACGTCCCTCGGAGTGGAGTCTAGTCAAAAACACGGAGTCATGATCCGCAGGCCTGGAGCCCCGACACGAAGCGATTATTCAGCGCGCGGGGGGGGGGGGCGGCGCGGCTTTATTGTGAGTATGTGTGTATAAGGGGAGGTGGGGGATGGGGATTTACTGTGCGTGTGTGTGTGTGTAAAAAAATAGTTTTATGTTCGCGGCCGAGCGATTGGGCTCCAGAGCAATCCCCAGCCTCGCTCCGCTCCGGGTGTTCACTCGTTTCCTCTGTGCGCTGTGTGGTCTGTCGCTGGTGGAGGGAGGGAAGGGGGAAAAAAATCCCCCAAGAACTCCGCCCGCCCGCCCGCGCCTCTTAAGCAACAAAAAAAATTGCATAATGTGTGGTTTTTTTAAAAAAAAACTGCGCGTGCGCGCCCGCCCGCCCCTGTTTACGGTACGTGTGACGTCAACGCGCCGCGGCGCCAGTTTGAATTTTTGAATGCAACGGCGGCGGTAACGGTAGGTGAGCGCGCGCGCGCTTTTAACCGTTCCCTGTACCCCCCCCACCAACCACCCCGCGGTTTGGCAACAGAAACGTCTCCCTCAACACCGACACACCGACAGACCCTCTCTTGTTCGTGGCGAATGGTTGCGCAGCTTCCCCCCACCCGCCCCCTCGCCTCTCCAGGCTCGGTCTGTTACCGCTAGGCCCGGCCGCCGCCGCTTGTCAGGGCAGTCTGTATGTCATCTGCCGTGGAGAGTCAGTGTGTATTTTTTTTGGGTGGGGGGGAGGGGGAGAGGAGAAGGAGTTGGGAAAGGACAGTTGAGCCATTGTGTCGCACATGATTGCAGTAAACCTTACATCAGTTGGGACCATAACAACAACGACAACAACAAAAATGACATGACTGCGGCGCCTTTCACGTCGGGTGGACGTCCCAAGGCGCTGGACGGTCAGTGTTACGGGGGGCTGGGAGTCGGGGAGGGCGGGGGGAGGGGGGTGAAGCAGGGTGATGGAAGGCACAGTCGAAGAGGAGGGTCTTGCGCCGGGTCTTGAAGGCGGCGAGGGATGAGCCGAGGCCGAGGGACCGCGGGATGGAGTCCCGCAGAAGGCCCCGCCCGCCAATGCTGGGGGGACGTGAAGAGAGAGAGCCCGCTGAGCGGAGGGAGCGAGCGGGGTGGTAGGGGTTTAGGAGATCGCGGAGATAGGGGGGGGATCAAGACCGTGGAGGGGCTTTGAAGGTGAGGATCAGCATCTTGAACTGTATCCTCTGTGTGATGGGAAGCCAGTGGGAGTCGGGCGAGGGTGGGGGTGATAGGGTCGCGGAGCCGGTGCGGGAGAGGACACGGGCTGCAGAGTTCTGGATGACCTGCGGCCTGTGGGAGGGAGGCGTCGGAGAGGCCGACAAGCAGTGAGTTTGCGTGGCCGACTGGATGTTATGAATGCGTGTATAACTGTTTTGGCGACCTGCGGGTTATTTGAATGTTTTTATTACTTGACAATGAATTCTACGATCCAATGTGAGGTGCAACCTGCTGCATCAAATTCAGAAGCGGGTGTTCCAACCTGTTAGTCAGCAACAATATATGAGTTCTCTGTAGGCCTGTATCGAAACATTTTTTTTAAAATACGTGGAGTGCTGTAGCTCAGTGGTTGGAGCATGCACCTCACAAGCGAGAGGATCTGGGTTTGATTCCCGGCATGGCGAAACGTTGGACAAGTTTCCTTAACCCACATGCCTCTCTTTACCCAACAGTCAGTAGGAACCCAGTTGTTAGTTGTTAGTCAGTTGGCAGGTCGCTTTTCCGGGTGTAATAATACCTTCAAAATAAATAAAAATAATTTGGTCACTCAATCCACGGCTGTTTGTGGGACACTGCTGTGCACAATTGCTGTTGCCCACAACATATAATCAATTTACTTAATGGTATGTTCTGTGAAACGCTTTGAGACATCTCGAAGACGTAATAAGGCGATGTTTCAAATGCAGTTATTATTATTATGAACTCTAAAGCAAATTTGTGTTTCCTTCTTAGCTCAATGGAGATGGAGAACAGATTAACATTTCCTAATTACAAAGTTGATAGCATTGTGGAGTTTTTTCGCTCCAGTGTTCTGACTGGCTCTGAAGTTAACAGCCTCACCAAAAATGACCTTGTGCCAATTGCAAAGGTATGTAATGCTTATAACCGAATTTGTCTTTGTTTTTAAAAGAAGATCTCTTCTGTCGATCAATTTACCACCAGGTGAATGAATGCGTAGGTTTAAATGCTCTTAGCATCTAGCTGTGAGGGGTCTGTAGGATGGCTCACAGAGAACGGGTAGGAAATGTTTTACTTACTTTCCTGTTCGCTTCTCGGCCTTTTGGCTATGATCAAACATAGTATCTGTTCTCGTCAGTTACTATTTGGGCTCTGCACCTGCCAGAGCTCTCTAAGGTTTGGATGTGTTGCGCAACCATGATCTGAGCCTTTCCCATGATTCATTTGTGGTATGCAGGGCTATTGCCAGGAAAGCGAATGCCTTCGGCCCTCTGTTGGTTTGGATCAGTATGGCAGTGTTGCATTTGATTTGATCTCTCAAAGAGCAACAGAAACTGAAATGCAGATCTACTTTAAGCCTTTAGACTGGGCTTTCCCAGGCGTAAGAGGCGATCTGATCACTTGTTCAGGAGCTCGTGAGGAAAGGAATTAAATCCGCATTGCTGTTTAGCGATTTGGGACCTAGATTAGTGGGGAAAGTCAACCTTCATTCCAGTTTGACGAACACTACTGGGTCTAATTTATCTTAGTGAGGCGGGTATGTGGGCTCTCACCTCACTCATCCAAAAAAATTCTGCTTTCCGATGAGATTGCCCCTGAATGGAAGTTGGAAAGAAATTGCATGAATCCTGCTAAAATAATTGTGTGATTTAATGATTAAAAAAAAACATTTTTCACAGAATAAATTGGTGTTTTTTTCTTGCCAAATAGAATGTGATGTAGATCAGGCAGTATAATCTTGATTTTTTTCCCCAATCAACAACAACAACAACAACAAGATTCCATTTATAGAGCGCCTTTCACGTCAGGAGGACGTCCCAAGGCGCTGCACAGTTGGGTCATGACCCGAGCAGGGGGGAAATGGTCAGGGTGAGGGGAGGGAAGGGAGGGAGAGAGGAGGGGGGAAATGGTCAGGGTGAGGGGAGGGAAGGGAGGGAGCGAGGAGGAGGAAGAGAGTCGAGAGGGGAGCTGAAGGCACGGTCAAATCGTATGAAAATGCACGAGATTTGTCTTATCTGTAATATTAACCAGATTTATTTCATTTAACAGGCGGAAGTCGTCCAACGATTGTACTTGAGAAGTCTGCAGGCTGTGTTTGATGCCCGAGTTGAGTCTTTCTACATGGTGAGAAATGTAGGGATATTAAGAGTAATGAGAAACATAGAAACTTCTACTCCAAGCTCATAATTATGTAATTGAATATGTAACTTAAACTGAGTTGATTAATACAAAATCAAATTCTTGGCTTTGAATGTTAAATTTCATGAGAATTGTTTTGTATGCTGATATATATTTAATTTGTAGTTTGTTTAATCTTTGTAGTTGCCTGGAGATGAAAATATGCCATATCTGCAATTATCTGAGGGATTTGCCCCAATTATGAATCTATATGTTTCCATGTAAGTATTCAACAGAATAGTAGAATACTACTTTGAATGTAAGGCAATCAAAGATTTAATTTTGATTTGCATACATAATGTCAAACCTTTAGCAATTTATTGGCATGTGAAATACTCCAATTAATAATACTGTAATCATATTTGGTTAATACATTTTTCTGATTTTTTTTCTCATCAACTAATGCTTTTTCAAAGGGTGCTCAATACACTTAATACCAGTTTTTAAATAAAATTGTCTTTATTGAATCGGTGTTTGGATTGAATTATTTTGCTAGGCTACCCAGCTCAGTTTTAGTGCAGAATAATTGGAATGGCTGTCTCGTGTTACCTGGCTTTGCACAAATAACTGATTCCTTTTTGTAAAAGCAAACATTGGATTTGGTCTAATTCACTGTGAAATCCTTTTTTTTAAGTTTCCTGTGCTTTATACAATCTCTATGTTTATATTAAAAAGTAGAGAAAATAGACTGATGCCCTCAAAACTGCGAATCCCTAATTTTCAAATCTGGAGTTGACACTAATCAGGAAAGTGTGAATGGACTGATGCTTGTTTCTGATCCTGACTCCAAACTGAACAATATTTCAAGAGCACAAACAGACGCAATTCCTGAAAAGCAGTTTTATTTTCTGACTTTCTATATTGATAGTTGTAATCTTAAATAGGGACAAAATATGAGTGTGATTTTTTTTCTTTTGCACTTAATGTCATAAATTGAAGTAATTCAGTTTGTGTTTTTTTGTCATTTTATTCAATAAGGTGTCTCTAGTGTTCAGGCTTTTTTCCTTCTATCCTTTCAGGCAACGATTTATGCCAATGTGCCAACTTCCGAATTTTGAGATGAGTGATCTCATGAATCCTAGTAAGTGCACAAAAATTATTGAGAGATTTGCCTCGATCGTGAAAAAAATTGAGGGACTTGGGATGAAATGGGAGAATTGTACATCAGAATAATGTAAGTGATGTATAAAGATGCATATGACATTGAAGTAAAATGTGAAATGCTTTATAGTTTGACTGAAGTTAGAAAGGAAAACTTGCATTTTTTTATTATTATTGCATTGCCTAATAATAATCCCTCCAAAAAACAAAACAATAATAAATTGGTCATTTTCAATCCAATACTGTTTGTGGGACACTGCTGTGCACAATTGGCTGCCGCATTTTGCCCACAAATATACGGTCAATTCACTTTACAGCATATTCTGTGAAGCGCTTTGAGACATCTAGAAGATGTGAAAAGCGCTATATCAAATGCAAGGATTATTATATTGCATTGCAAGAAATCCAGAATAAAATTTGAAAATTAAGTGTTATGTTGGTAAACATTAATTATCAACGTACTGTGTTCTAATTTAGCAAGATTTTTTTATTCACCGGTCTATTTTGTCTTCTTTTTTAAAAAGAAACAAAACGGACTATCCATATCTTGAGTGGCATCATGAACTTTCTTAAGTTCAGAAAACGTGTCCTGGAGAATTACCTGGAGCAGCAGAATGGTTTTGTGAGTTCTAATTGTTAAGATATTCTAATTGTGTGTCCATAGTAAAGAACACAAAGTAATTTCCTTTAATTATTATCTATAATGGTTAATCTGTAATCTATTAGTACTAATAAAAGGTAAGGGATAATAATCAAGTGAGCTGTAAGAAGATGATCCCACTCACCCAGTGAGGGGTGTTCTACCTTTTAGTAGCTATTGAATTTTTTTCAATAATCAAAAGGAATGCTTAAAAAAGCCACAAATTCTATCTGTGTATGTGATGCACTTTGTAGCATTATTTTGAATCCTCAGGCAGTACAAAAGAACACCATGGACTTGCCTACTGCATTTGCTGAATAATGTATCCATAGAGTAAGAAATAGAGTAAGAAAGAGTAAAAATGGTGGGGCAAGTCATTGAAAACATTGTGTTCACAGAAAGTTAATGCGGAAATGATGCAGCATATGCTTTCAACGAATGAAGACATGAAGCGTAAAATTGAAAAACTCACGTAAGTAGATTTCATTATATTTGAAATTGTTAAAGGCAAAATGCTAAAGCCAATGGCATCATTAAACCAAATGTTTTAAAGTGGAGCCACAGTAGGATTATCCATAGTCAACACAGGGAAGTGTAACTTCCAGCAGGGTATTCTGAATATGTTGGGTTCATCTGTTGAAAATAATTTTTTGCCAGGACCATACCAGATGATCAACGGGCAGAAATTCAGGAGCTGTCTGCATGCATTACTGAATTGCACCAGACTTTAAACCATGATTATTGTAACGAACAAGTAAGTTTGAACATTCTCAATCTGTAATGTTTCTTGCCTTCATTGTTCAGTAAGATGTATATTTTTTATGTATTTCATTACCCTCCAATCGGGTTTCCACGCTGCATAGAAACAGATTTTGTCCATCTGCAACCAGGACTCTCTCTGCCTCTTCGTCCTCCTTGACGTCTCTACTGCCTTCAATACGGTTGATCATTCTATCCTCCAATGCCTCTCCTTTCACCTCAACCTTCATGGTTCTGTCTTTGAATGGTTCAGATCCTACCTCTCACACTGTCTCCACTGCATCTCCACAAACAATTTCTCCTCTAGCCCCCGCACCATCTCATGCGGCTTTCCTCAACTATCCTTTCTACCGCACACTCATGCCACGATCAGCTCTACCTTCTCCTGCCTCCGCAACATTGCCCAGCTCTGCCACTTTCTCACACCGCAGGCCGCTGAAACCCTCATACACGCATTCAGAAGATTCAAGCTTGACTATGCAAACTTCCTGCTTGTTGACCTCTCCAACTCCCCTCCATAGGCTGCAGATCATCCAGAACTCTGCAGCACATGTCCTCTCCCGCATCAGGCTCCGTGACCCTATCACCCCCATCCTGGCTTGACTCCACTGGCGTCCCGTCACACAGGATACAGTTCAAGATCCTGGTCCTCACCTTCAAATCCCTCCATGGCCTTGCTCCCACCTACCTCTGAGCCTCCTAACCCCCTATCAACCTGTCCACTCCCTCCGCTCAGTGGGTCCCCCGCCTCGCTCGCTTCACCATTGGCGAGTGGACCTTCAGCCATTCTTCCCCCACCCACCTATGTGGAACTCCATCCCAAAGTCCCTCCACCTTGCCCCCTCCCTTGCCTCCTTCAAGACCTGTCTCAAGACTTACCTCTTTTTCATGCCTTCGATCACCCTCCTTAACCTCCTGACCTCCACACTCCCCAATCCCAACCCATAGCTCGGGTCCAAAACACTGATTGTCCAGTGCCTTGGGAAGTCCTCCTGATGTGAAAGGCGCTATACAAATGTAATTTTGTTGTTGTATTTTCCCCCCATATTACACTGTTATGTGCATTGAACTCACAGGAAAATATGTTTTTCTTTTTATTTGCAGAACTCTGTTCAAGAAGCCACTGCACAACTAAAGGCTGAAATTGCAGAAAGCAACAAGAAATTAGTAAGTACAAATCTCTACATGTAAAGTTTCACAGATCTTGCATTTGTAAGTGGAAATAAATTAGTTGTTAGTCTATATACCTGGAGTAAACTTTTTGAAATATTTTCTCCAGTTGCACAGTTGGTAGCACTCTTGCTTCTGAGTTGGAAGAACTCTCCCCGTCTGAAGACTTTCCTGTTCAACCGTGCTTACGGCCACCTCCTCCCGGATTGGGAGTCAGGCTCCACCACTGTTAAGCGCTCTGAGACGCTGCCCTGCATGGAGGGTGCTATATGAGTGCAAATTGTTGTTGTCGGAAAGTTAAGGGTTCAGTCAGGGCTTTGAACTAGACCAGAGTTCTAGAACAGTGCTGGTAGAGTGCTGTTTTCCTTCAGATGAGATGTAAAACCAAAGTCCCACCAGCATATTTGGTGAATGTTGATCCCATTGCACTTTCCATGAAGATCCCATGATTATCAAAAGAGTATATCTCCTGGTGACGATGCCCCTAATTAAAATTGGTCACTTCATGGCTGTTTGTGGGTCATTGTTGTGTGCAAATTCGCTGCCATGGTTGCCTACAAATAGTCACTACACTTTACAGTAATACCCTGTGAAGCACTTTGAGGTGTTTTGATGATACTGTGATAAGGTTCTATATCAAATGTACAGATTAATATTTTTCTTTCAAGTAATGTTCTAATCCCATTTTACTCTTGAATAATGCAGAGCCAGTTAAAAGTTGACTTGACTTCTGCAAAAGGATCAAAGGCAAAGCTCAAAATGCAGATTGTGGAATGTCCAGAACAATTGAAGAAAGAATGGAAAAAATGAGAGAATTAGCCCAAAAGAAGAAAGAAACCATTGTAAGTAATTTGTTCCCTTTTCCCTCCACCTTTACCTGACAGTGCAAGCGTTTGCTATGTTACTAGCCCTGTGATATCTCGCCCAAACCAGCATTCTTTGTGTATGAACTTAGACATTGAGTAGCATTCTAGTGCACTAATAATCATAATTATGCTCCGGTGTAGCACCAATGTTTTTGGGAGCTTATAGTCTATGTTTGAAGTGTTCACTGTGTAATGTTGCTATTAGTTTAACTTTTCTATAATAAATTGAAAACTGCGTATTTATTCGTTTTGCTTTTTATATTTTTTCATAGAGAGAGAAAAATGAGAGAATAATTGACCTCCAAGACAAATCTGCAAATTTTACCAATTTTCAAAAAAAAGAACTGGAAACTTACTGCAATATTCTGCAAGAAGCCCAAGCTGGCTCAGACAAGATAAACAGCATGAACACTGAGGTTTGTGAATTCCAATCACTTGATCAGCAGAGAATATTTTGTTACTTCAGTTTAATAATTTGGAATTGTAGCTTTCAAGACTTGTGTTCTTTTGTTCCTCCTCTTAATCAGTAATGATAAAGCTTGCTGTTAAATGTTAAACTCAATGTTAAATAAAAGCTATAGATATTCTTGCCATGATGCATTCCTTAACTTGTTTGATATCGCAGTCAACATTCTTGTGTATGAAATGTGTTTAAAAGTGAGAGGTTTCCCCCAGATAGAAAGCCATCTATTGGCCAATACCATCATAAATGCTATCCTTTTATTGTATAGGATAAAGCAACCCATTGATAATAATAATCCTTGCATTATTCATGTATTAATTTTTTATATAAAAATACTATTCTGAAGTTAAGTGTTCTACTTTTTATAATTTTACAACCGCAATATAGGTTCAACCAAAGAGCTAGTAAGTCTTGCATGCATTTCTGCCTTGCAATAGGTGGTACCGATTCACTTTTTTTTCCCTCTGACCGCCGCAGATTTGGAAAGCAGATAATGAACGAGAAAGCAAAAACATGGAATTAACAAACATGCAGACAGAGCAGGTCCAGCTGAAAAGAATTCTTGCCTCAAAGATTGAAAAACGGGATAAGTACCAGATGCAGCGGCAGAAGAAACAGGAGGCTCAGGACTACCATCTTGAAATCAGAGCCACGTAGGAAATGACTTTCAGCTTTCGTTTTTTAAGCTAAAAGACATTGGGCAGCCCCTCTACACAATAGCCACCCCAAGTTCATAAACATTTTTCCGAACAAAGATTACGTAAAAGATATCAAATTGGTGTAAATTATTACTCTTCATAATCTTTTGTTGTTACGTTTTTAATACTTATAATAATCCTTGCATTTGATATAGCGCTTTTCACGTCGGGAGGACGTCCCAAAGCGCTTCACAGAACACACTAAAGTGAATTGACTGTATATTTGTGGGCGAACGCGGCAGCCAATTGCGCACAGCAATGTCCCACAAACAGTCGTAGATTGAAAATGACCAATTTATTATTTTTTTTTGGTTTTTTGGAGGGATTATTATTAGGCTCTGTGGAGTAAGGAAACTTGCCCAAGGTTTCGCCCTCTGCCTGGAATTGAACTCACGTCTCCCGCTTGCAAAGTGAGTGCTCTAACCACTGAGCTACAGGACTCCACAACTTTTGCACAAATATGGAATGATATCTGCATAAATAATTTGCTTGCCGCTAGTTGGGTGGAAAAATCGTCTCATCTGAATCTCCACTTCATCAGTAGTTTCAATTTTTTTATGATTTCATTATAGAATTCCGCTGCAATAGAAGATGACTGTTTTCAAGGCTATTATTTTAAGAATTATTTTAATGGCTTAACAGTCAATCTTTTAAACTGAATTCAAATGAACATGCTTCTCATTTTCAGCATTTTGCCCCTTCAATACGAGTGACTATTATTCCTGAATAGACTGTGCTTTGAATCCTTTGAAATTCTCTTTCTCCCTTGGCAGCCTGTCTCCTGTTGGTACCATGTGGATCTTAGCATCCCTCTTTAAAAAGGTCATTCACAACCCTTTTCCAGGGTAATTGAATGCATTGGTTGTTCACTCATTAAAACCCTGTGCTGCTCACTGAATGACGGCTATGTTTATGGGCCTTTTGTGTTTGATAGAAACTATTACCTAATGGTTTTATGCCCATTGTGACTTTGGATTTGAATGCCCATTTGAATTTGGTTATTCATTTTTGTTTGAAATGCATCAGCACAATTTAAAAAAAAACTATTTGTTCCCTACCTTCTACAGTGATTGTGATCAGTTGAAGATTCGAAGACTGGAAGTGATTGAACAGATTGCTCAGATACACAAAGAGTGTCAGCAGATTGAGGCACAAAGCCAAGAATTGGAGAAGCGCTGTGAGAAGGATGTCTTTGAATTGCAGGTATGTAAAAGCAGTGTAAAGAGTTTAATCTAGTCAGGTTTGGCTGTAAGGGCACAGCTTTAAATTGGTACTATTAATCTTGGAGGCTTATGCTTCAAAGGTGGGTTGCCAATTTGGTACTGTTGGGTCACTTGCTTACCTTAATTACAGAGAATAGCTTCAGTGTTACATCGTACACACTAGTCTTTCTGCAGTAGTGCTACGTATAGGTAAACTCCTAATCCTAGAATTCACTTATTTGTAATAATAATCCTTGCATTTTCACCTTCAAGACGTCTCAAAGTGCTTCACAGAATATACTGTAAAGTGAATTAACTATTTTTGTGGGTGAAGTGTACACAGCAGTGTGCTAGTAAGCCACACACACAGTACTTTGGCCCATTGAGCATATTCTGACATTGTTTTAGATCATCACTTTTTTTTCTCCATTACTTAAATCGCTTATAATAATAATAATCCTTGCATTTGATAGCTATATATATATATTCACGTCGGGAGGACGTCCCAAAGCGCTTCACAGAACACACTGTAAAGTGAATTGACTATATTTGTGGGCGAACGCGGCAGCCAATTGCGCACAGCAATGTCCCACAGTCGTAGATTGAAAATGACCAATTTATTATTGTTTTTGTTTTTGGAGGGATTATTATTAGGCTCTGTGTGGAGTAAGGAAACTTGCCCAAGGTTTCACCCTGCCTGGAATTAAACTCGCTTACAAAGCGTGCCTTCAGCTCCCCTTTCGACTCTCTACCCCCTCCTCGCTCCTTCCCTTCCCTCACCCTGACCATTTCCCCCCTGCTCGGGTCCTGACCCAACTGTACAGCGCCTTGGGACGTCCTCCCGACGTGAAAGGCGCTCTATAAATGGAATCTTGTTGTTGAGTGCTCTAACCACTGAGCTACAGGACTCCACTCTACTTATTTCCCATGTATCTAAACATCTGTAAAACATCCCAATTGACTGCATCTAAAGCCATCTGTACTTGTATCTAGTTTTGAGCTTAGTTCATGGTTTATCTGCTTGCAGAATCTATGTTCAAACTTGTTGATTCTGATGGAAAACTATCATGAAGGTTTGGCTAATGTGACACACAAGGCCCTCCAAGGGAGAAGAGAGAAAATGGTCAAATTGGAGAGGGCGATGAATGAAAGGACTTAAAAGTCTGCACTCTTTCCACAACTTTATTTTCTTGTTTCTTAGTCTCTTTACCTTAGACTCTTGTTCCTCTACTTTACCTTTAAGTTACTTTACAATGTAACTTGAGTTGTTGTAGTTTCATGTTGTTTCAAGAGTTTGTCACCGTTTAAATGTATATATTCAGTATGTTTATAAATACAATCTGTGTCTGCTCAAATTGTTTCCTAAAGCAACAGATGGTAGTAGAAACTTTAAACATAACTTTAAATAATATTAGTAATGTGTTTATCTAAGCAAATGTATGCTTGTGATCCTTTTTGATGTATAACTTCATAATAAAATGTATAGAAATTAAAGTTTTGTTTCTTATGAATTGTGTACTACAACTTTTCATTTATGTAGCACCCTTCACACCGGATAGAATCTCAGTTAGGTCATGTCTGTCTTCATGTATAGCTTAAAACTATTTCTCCGAACCAAACTACAGTAGTTATTTACACACAGACTTGAAGCAAAATTTGAGTTTTTATATAAAACCTATAAACAATGTAGATCAGTAGAGGGCACCAATGCTCTGTTCACTTAGTGTAGCAATGCACAACCATTTGTGTGGTGAGAACAAGTACTTTCGGAATTACTTTGTGTTCATAGAAACAAAATGCAATATGACTTGGAACATTTTTGATAATGCTTATTAATATAAAAATGCAGCTGGTTAATCTTCTGCTGGTCCATTTAACTGCTCTGCTTCTTAAGCCTTGCCAGTGAACTAAACTGGCTGGTCCACCTTCAACTGGCCAAGAGTACCAGACTTCACTCAATCAGAATACTAAGATTGCCAAAGGATTGACTTTATTCTGATCTCTTATTGTCAGGCTTGTCACCTTTGAGTCAATGCAGCTCCAAAGAGCCCCTGCTTATCTCCTCAGTTTTCTCCAGAAAAACGGATATTGTTTGTTGTTCCAATGGATTTTAAATTCGGGAAACCCATCCTTTCAAAAATGTGATCGCTTTCTCAGAGGAAGACATTCACGTACAGTATCCAAAGCTGAATTTTATTAATCAGGAACTTATTGTTCAGAGACTGGTAAGCAGGGGCTCCCAGTGCCTTAAGACATCCTTCTGATGTGAAGGGTGCTCTATAAATACTTGTTGTAGTTGTTGAGCTGGCTCCAAGATGACGTGCTTGGCAATAGAATATCAAAATTGAGTTCACCCTCTAGCTGTCTTGGTAGTCAAGTACTTTTGTGGTGGGTCCACGATATGTTAAGACAATATTGATAAACCAGAGGCTTGGTCCTTCAGCAGTACGTGAAGCATAGGGATGGGGAAGGAAAGGGCAAGGCGGAGGGATAGAGGAAAAGTGTTCCAGAGCTTTGGGGCTTAGTGGCTGAAAGTGCAGCCACCGATGGTGGAACGGAGGGCACGAGGACATGCAGGAGGACAGAACCAGTCGAGCAGAGGTAGAGTGTTGGGGGGGGAGGAAAGGTCGAAGAGGTAGGGAGGTGCCAGGACATGAAGGGATTTGAAAATAAGTGAGGATCTTGAAGTCGATCTGTTCAGTGATAGGGAGACAGTGAAGCCTGGCAAGAACTGGTGTGATCGGGATACGGAGTTTAGTGTGGGTGAGCATGCGGGCGGCAGAGTTTTGGATCAGCTGGATCTTGTGTATGGTGGAGTTGGGGAGACCGGCGGAGACTGGACAACAACAACAACAAGATTACATTTGTATAGCGCCTTTCACGTCAGGACAAGTGACACCAAAGAGATTATATATGAAGGAATTTCAGTCCCCAAAATTATAAAGCGCTCTGCTGTGCATTTAATCAACAAGCACATCAAGAAGTAATACAAGGTGTCCTGTACTACACATTTATTTGACTTTCTGTGTTTTCATATAATAAATAATCCCAATAAATGGAAAGTAGAATTTTAAGTGCAAAAAAAACATTGAACAGTACAGTAGACAGAATATCTTGCATTGTATCACAGCAAAACAAACTCATAATTGTAAGTGTTTTTTTTAGACGCTGGACTGCAGCAGAAGCAGCATTCAGCTGAAAGGATCATGGATTTGTACAAGTACAAATGGTAAAGGAGTATTTTCATGATAATAGCTGTGGAGAAAACACTCCAAGGAATATTCAGCTCAAACAATTGTAGCTGTCAAGGGTTCATTTAACCACTTGACAAGCTTGTATTGTCTTGAACTGCTTTAATTGTAATTATATTTACTGGTTTTTGTGTTTGCTTTTAAAATTCAGGTTTTTTTAATGTTTATATTAAATGACATGAAGTTGATGTTGAAGTTGAAGTTCCTTCTTGTGGTGTAACATGCCTAAAAATGTATAGATTCTACACCAAGAAGCCATTGTGACCCTGAGTTGTCCATATAACTCTAGGGGCAAGGTGTTTTAAAGTGAAAGCAGTTTATATTCTTAATATGTGTGTGTATGGGGAGGGGGTGGGGGGGAGAGGGAAGGAGGAGGAGAAATAAGGGCAGTCACAGTTTATTTTATAAAACACAATCACAACTTGTTTTTTCTACTGTAATATACAGACTCCTAGACTCCTTTTGCGTAAACTAGATCATGAAAATAATTTAAACAAATAATAGGACGCATTTTATTGAACAATTTGTATAGTTAACATATAACTTGTTCCAGCAATAATTACCCCGGCGTCGCAATGTAAATGTACACATTCCCTTTCTTCTCTTGCACGTTCTTCTGTATCTTCCTGTGTCAAATACTTTTGAAAATTTATTTGGCTGCAAACCGTGCCGGCTGATAGTCGCGTATGTATTCACAATCTCATGAATAATCTCTTTCAAAATGCTACTCTTTTTAAGTCTTCCTGCCATTCATTGTCCATTAGCTCGCAGCCGGGGCCCCTTCTGTTAAGATAGATACTCTGAGAGGTTCTGTCTTCAGCGTCACGTCTGGGAACGTCTGTCGGAGTTTGAATGCTGTTTAATTCTGCTTTCTGCCTGCTTGGTCAGGTTTAAGTACAGTTCTGATTTCAGGAACCTTGGGTAGGAATCCTTCTCCATGAGGTTGTAGATTTTACTCTGAGCCACATCATAGGTGCAGCTGTTGTGGTCCAGCAGCTTCTTTTTTGTGAAGTCTTTGGTTTCGAAATCAATGTTAATCTAAATGGAAGAGCAGGAAAATCAAGAATTGTCCTCTCATCTTAAAAATCACCTTTCATTAAAGACCCTTTAGTCTGACTAATTTGATTTTATCCAACATTTGAAATAGGACTGGGCCAGGGATTCTTCCCATTCTGTCCTAGTTAGATGAGCAGCGGAAGATTGTGAGACACTGTTATCGATAGCAATCTATGCTGTTTGAGCTGGTTAAACTCTAGCTCTACCCCAACGCATGCTTTGGCTCTTATTAATTTGCACTCATGCACTTGGGAATCAGAAATCATTCCATTGTAGATACAGAAGTGTCCATGAGTCGGAGTACATATGTGGAAATCTGTCTGGTTTGGACACTGAAATATGACAATCTGTATCTTCATGTATAAGACACATTAACAAATATTGAAATAGGCTGATATATTCAGTCTTAAACATAAACTGACTAATATTCCCACGCGCTTGTGATGCTACCCTAGGTGAGGGGCAGCATATAAATGCAAATTGTTGTTGTGGACTAACCTCTTTAGGGGCATCTGTTTCTATGAATTCAGAGTAGATCTTCTTGGCTTTGGAGGCACGTTTTACAGGCGACTTCGTTTTCTTGTAATCCTCGCAGGCCAGCCAGAAATCGAGATTCTCCTCACTGTACTCTGACCGCAGGAAAGCTCTGAAAGCAGCCAGGCCATCTACCAAAAGAAAAAGCAAACTCGACAAATAAAATGCTGCAAAGAAAAAAAATGAGCGGTTTCACAAAGGTTACATATAACCCTAATTTAAAATATCTGTTGCACGTTTTTCAATTTGTTATTAAATATTTAGTGAGATTTGAGTCAAATTTAGAACAGAGCTTTGATGTGAGATAGTAACTAAATGGAAGGGAGGGTCCTTCATGGGTGTCCCAAAATGTCAGTTCAATAATATTAAGCTACAACGCTAATTTTCCCCACTCTTGAATGTCTTGTTATATATAACATATACGTGTCTGAATATAACTAGGCCACTTGCCAAGAAGCACGAGATGAAAGCCACATGCTGTTTTTGATCTTGACCTGACTAGGAAAGGGATATTTGCGGAGTATTGAGAGTCCGAGCTCCCTCCTTTTTTCCTGCTGTTTGTTTCCCATAGTGATTCCTAACTGGAAATATGCCGGGAGATACTGACCATTCTACCCTCAAATTTCCTCTGGCCAGTTTTCTCCCCTCCTGTCCTGTCCTCTCTGCTCTCCTCAAGATGGTGGCTGAAGCTGGGTTACAGTTCCATAGCCTCCAGCTGTTTCTCTGGTACTAATAATTCTTCATGTTTGCGAGTGGAATGCCAGTTCAGCAGCCTATTTTACTATGTGTAGGGCAGTGGGGGTGGGGGGAAGAAATGACAAGTGAGGCAGATCCCATCATCACTGGTTAATGGTTATGGAAATAGTATTGCTAAATAATAATTATAATATTTGATATAATCACATTGGGAGGATGCCTCAAAGTGCTTCACAGGATTCATTCTAACACACAGTGACTATATATTGTATGTGCGAATGACATGCCAAAACACAGTATAGTACTTACATGGATGAGCAAGCATCTTGTCGAGAGATTCTCTCCATTTTCTCGCTTCATCTGAGGAAGGCCTGACAGAAAACACAAGAAAGTTTTCTTTACTCCACTGTGTTGAACAATCATACAATTACTTTATATACCCGATATCTAAAATGTAAAAATATTCTTTTATATTATTTTCAGGACAAAGTGTGGCAAAGTAACTACCTGGATTTGGGGTTTTCTGACTTTTTTATTCGAGTGAAGTCCCGCTTAGACTGCAGAAAGATTACCAAACGGGTCTTGATCCCTTTTGCCCTGAAAATAGAAAATATTAGGAGCAAAGTAAATTTCATTATTCCTATGACAACCGCATAGGAGTTGGCTGTGTCATTAAACATTCTTTAGTTGTGCATACAAAATTTAAGTTAAAAATTAAACTGTCTGGCTTTTCTAAAAAATCAATGTTTAAAAGGTTTCCTCGAGCAAAGTTTACTTTGATATTTTACAATATTTACTAACATTTTACAAATGAAGACATTCATAACTTCTTATCATAGAGCAGCTTTCTTTTATCTGGCTTGGTTGATTTTTGAAGCAATATATTGTCTTTATTTGTCTTTTTACCCTCTAAATGGAATTCACCCAACCAGGGTGATCTGTTTGCTACTAAATACAGCAACAATATGCACCTAGATATTCCGCAGCAACTGGGATATGTGGAGAATTCTACATTCACCCTTTTCATCAAAGAATATCCACAATTTTCAAGGGATTGATACTTGGCTATTTATTTAATTGAAAAAACCTTAGAAAATCGCAATCCTTTAGTTTTAGCTTAAAACTAGATTTAATAACTTTGATAGAAGGACCTTAGCTGACAGATCCACTTGCCTACATTTGAACTGTCGCAGTCTGCTTTGCAAATGTTTGACTAGTTTGAATGTCTGAATGGTGAATGTTTGACTAGCTACACTTTGTCTACAGTCGGTACATAATACACTGTGTTAAATATATATATTATGTAGAACCCAGATCTATAGCTAAGGTCCACTTTTATCTGTCCAATCATTTTCACCGCAAAAATAAATCTTATTTGCAAAATACTTGTTCTAAAGTTACTAATTATATTATCATTCTTGCTGAGAAAATGTTAGTTACCTCTACAATACAAAAATAAATTCTTAACGCAACCAGACTGAAATCTTAAATGCAAGTCGCATACCTTTCTAAGCAGTTGCTTGGCAGCGATGATAACCCTCGGCACATCTTTCTTTTTAAAATTGTGGGACTATTGGGTGTTGAATTTCTTCTGGACACTCGGTCTTACCGAGACTACATGTCTCAGCCAGGAACATTGCCTTATATACACCAGTTAGTTGGAGGGGAGCCAGTATGCAGACCAATCAGAGGGTTGCAGGAACTTGACAAGGTTACACTGCCAATAGCTCAGAAAACAATTGCGCAAGAACTTGAATGATGGTGTTTCTGTCTGCAGAGTTTCCTAGTCGTTTATATTGTGACCTATTCCTTGTGTGGGGGGGACCCTTCCAGCATATTTATATAAATGTACAGTTTAATCTGTAGCCTTTTCAAGAAGTGCACATATTTGCTGTTGCAAAAAGAGACAAATATTGAATCTTCTATTTTTTCTCTTATTGGGGTAGGGAATAGCACTTTTTATTTTCCCATAAATACTCAATTTGTCTATCTTGAAGCTGGAAAGCCACATCATTAAACAGTATTTTGCTGTAAAACAGATATGTTCTTAGGCAGATAATGGATGGGCCTTTTAAGTTTGTTGCACCAGATTTCCGATACATTTCAAAACACTGAGCCTAGAAAAATTTACAGGAACACAGTATCACCAAAGGAAAGGACTAGTTGTCAGCATGCTTTTTAACCTTACTATACTGGATACATAATTTAATAGGCCAAATCAACAAAGCAGTCTGTATGTGTTCAAGTAAAATAGGATAAAGGTTAAACATTGCTTGGAAGAATTAACATTTTGAATACAAAATGCGTCAAAGAAAATCATTGACGATGTTCACAGCAAAGAGAAATGACACCATTGTAGGCTGTGAACTAATGACGCCAAAGGAAACGGTTTGTAAAAAGCATAAGTAGGTCAGACCTGGTTGAAAATGTTCAATCCAAATGGATTATTTATTAGAGGATTACAACAGTATATTTGTATACAAATATATTTGTATCCAGTGTACAAATATACAATTCCACAAATTATTATTATTCAAAGAGTGATGTTTTCCTCTTACCTAATACAATGAAGAATACTTTTCTATTTGGGGGACTCTTTTGAATGCTGTGGCAAACTTGTCTTTTTGTGAGAGATTGAATGAATTAAATATATTAGAGGAAAATAAATTACTGTGCCACTTGCTATCAGATGGTAGAACCACAGACAAACGAAGGACTGAATTCTGTTCTTATCCCTTCACTTCCTCCTTCACAGCAGTCGTCACATCAAATGAAAGAGCACTACTGACTGCTATTGTTAATCAATGCAATGTTAATATGTGAGATACTAAAAAAAATTCTCCTCTCTCCATGGAAAATCCTTGATGCTGAGAATGCTAACTATGTACTGACAGAGTAAACTTACTGTTTACAGATTGCTGGAAGCAGTTGAAGACATTAGCTGACAGATTAATCCTTTGCGTAATGTGGTACTGAGCCTGACAGCAGGAAGTTCGATCTTTGTTGCATGTTTTGGTTGCTGCCCTTCTGTTGTGGGATGTAGAACAGGTAGATCTGCAAGAATTTGGAGGAAAAGATTTTCCAAAATGAGACAAAAAAGAATTTGTTCCATCCTCGAGCCCCGGTTTCTCCCATATACAAAGGAAATGTAGGTCTGTCAGGATGAACATAGTCTATCACTCATTCCCTTCATCACCAATTCTTGTCTGCTGAACACAGCATCTAACTGGGTCAGGAAACTGGATGGAGTCCAGCAATTGAAACCGACCAAATCCAAAGCCAGATTTGGATCCTTTCAAATGCAGAAATTCACTTCTGGCTAAGCTCAATGACTGAGACAAAACAGACTGGTACAGATTCTTTGCGCAGATACCCAGAGTGTGAGCTCTGCAGTTAGTAGAATTGTAGAGATGGAAAATTAGTTGGTGGAATTGGGACAAAAATAACGAGACTATAATCCCAGAACAAAAATGCCACAAAAGAAAGACACCTTTCTGAATACCCATTCGACATTTAAATTCTATTGTAAATATGCAGAATTCATTCTGATTTGGTCTTGTGGCTAATCTAATGTAGCTGCTTCTATCTGATCAGCTTTTTTGTTTGATTGCATGTAACGTTCACCCTTAAGAGTAGGAAATAGTTAATAGCCTGCCCATGAATGTGCTAAAATTTCCTATTTAACATCAAATACCCTTTTAAAACAACTTTTTGTTTTTATATTATTTTAGGATGAAGCATGTTTACAATTATGATTGCCTTTTTTGTATTTCAGTTACATAAATGCTCTCAATTTATTATGTTCCTGATGCCTAACAAATAATTTTGTGAAAAATAGGTTACTTGCTGAAACAGAGCTGGCAAAATGTTGAAGAAATGCTCAGCTGTGCCAGTGGGACTGTGAGTTTCTCCAGGGAGTAGTGAAGGTATGCGGAAAGATCTCTGTTTTTGGTCCTTGGTCTGTGCTGAATGAATTGTCTTAAAAGCAGGGTAGCACTAAGGGAAATACAATTGGCCTCAGAATTTCACTTTAGGAAGGGGGAAATCAGCCAGACTTCTCAATTTTGATCCCTATCCAGTGACCACCAAGGGACGTCAGGTGAGGAAAGTATCAAACGATGAGGCTCCATTCCTCTGCCCTCCCCTCAAAGTCGAATGGCCCTCAAACACTCACTGTCAAGGCTCAGTCATGAAGACGAGACGGGCAGGAACAGGACGGTGCCTGATGCCCATGTGATTGTACCCCAGAAAAAGTCTCATAATAATAAAATCAAGTGATTCTGATGGTATGGTTTTAACTTGATCACATGTTCACTAGAATATTGATCTTTGCACCAAACCTGAGAGCAACAAAAAAAGAAGCGCATTTTAGAGGTTTCCGAGCAATACAATGGGACCTGAAATGACACTATCGCCATAAATTGATGCACAAAATAAAACCAATTTGCAGGGTACTGACTGCATCACAGTAGAACAAAGAGGGGACAAGCCCTTCATGTCTTATGTAATGATGGCAAAGTTAAAATTCAAAGTAAACCATATGTTACAACCATTAAATACCTCGATCTTTTAAGATTAGGTTTTAAGTCAGGGTCCCAATTAACATGCTTCAAGATAGTCTGCTAGCCAATAATAGCGAAAATAACATGTGCAATATGTTTGTCAATTGATCTGCTGGTTTATTTATTTAAAGCATTGATATGCTCATATATTTATTCTCTCTGTCTCTGCATTTCTTGGTTCAATGTATGTACGTTCTTGCAGCTCTTTCTTTCATAGAATCATACAATTATACAGCACAAGAGGAGGCAATTCGGCTCATCGTGTCTGTGTCTGTTCTTTTAAAAGAACTATCCAACTCAATCCTACTCCCTCTTTCTTTCTTTCTTTCTTTCTTTCTTTCTTTCTTTCTTTCTTTCTTTCTTTCTTTCTTTCTTTCTTTCTTTCTTTCTTTCTTTCTTTCTTTCTTTCTTTCTTTCTTTCTTTCTTTCTTTCTTTCTTTCTTTCTTTCTTCTGCCCTTAAATGGTTATTAAGACAAATTCAAACATCTTGAGTTACTATAGTAACCATACGTATTTCTGAAGTACCATAATTATACAATTTTCTTATAATAATAATAATCCTTGCATTTGATATAGCGCTTTTCACGTCGGGAGGACGTCCCAAAGCGCTTCACAGAACACACTGTAAAGTGAATTGACTGTATATTTGTGGGCGAACGCGGCAGCCAATTGCGCACAGCAATGTCCCACAAACAGTCATGGATTGAAAATGACCAATTTATTATTGTTTTTGTTTTTGGAGGGATTATTATTAGGCTCTGTGTGGAGTAAGGAAACTTGTCCAAGGTTTCGCCCTCTGCCTGGAATTGAACTCAGGTCTCTCGCTTGCAAAGCGAGTGCTCTAACCACTGAGCTACAGGACTTATATATCGATACCTTCACTTACGTGATAATGTCTCTAATGCTTCATAGGAATCAATTACAGTTTGGGGATATTCCAAGAAAAGTGATTTTTGCCGGAATAAAAAGGAATTCTTTGTGTTCACAAAATGGAAACTTTCAAATTAAAAACAAAATTATATTATACGGTGACATTCACTCTTAAAGCCAATCGAAAATATAACCTATAAAATATAACTGTAGGGCAAAACAAATTAAATACCTTAATTTCAACTGAAATGTTTTTTTTCTACTGATTGAAACCTTTTTGAAATGATTACTCGGTGAGATATATTTTAATACATTGTAGGTTTAAATCTGACAGCTGTCTTGCTCCCTGTTCAGTTGAAACAAGCCACCAGTTAAACACAGCAAACTCCAATAAGATTTTTTTTAAGGTGGGAGCACTATACCTCAGGTATTCTACAAATTGGATAATAAAGTATCCATTATCCCAAGAGCAAGACACAGCCCGACAAACACAACAGGAATGAATGCAACTACGTACCCTCAAGAAGAAGTGAGAGTCCTGATTTGGGTCAGTTGGTAACAATTGTGTCTCCCAGTCAGACATCCATGGGTGCAAATCCAACATGAAGGCTTGAGCTGATAATCAAAGCTGGCACCCTTCAATAGGGAGGGAACGCTGCATTGCTGGAGGAGCCGTCCTTTGGTTGAGACGTGAAACTGAGAAATTGTCTGCCTATTCGGTTTGATGTTAAAAATCCTACAGCAAAATTTCAAAGAAGAGCAGGGAGTTCTTCAGGTATTTTGGCCAATATTTCTTCTTCGTTCAAATTCTTCAAACAAAACAGACTAAATTAGGTAATTGACCTCTTGTGGGATGTTGCTGGCGGTGATTAGCTGCCACATTTGACTTCATAACAACAATCGCAGCACATCAAAGTAACTCATTGTGCAAAGTGCTTTGAGACATTTTGGCATGATAAGGTGCTACGTGAAATGCAAGGATTATTATGAAGTCAATCTAATAAACATGTAGTTGAGGCGGGAACATCAGGTGCAACTTCCATTATCCCACCAAGTGCTGAGTGCTGGGTTATGCTACTTGTGTTGCCTCTCCTTCTTCCTCAAGAATTGGCTTTACTAAAGGAATCCAAACGACATGCAGCTAATCTGCTCTTCACATCCACATTACATCTGAATTCT